CAAGTAAACCTCCATGGATCTAAGATTCATAATAGAAAGAGTCATAAATGACCTTGTTTGCTGTTTGAGGGTGCTTTTTGGGCCATGGGGGATTTTTTCGCTGTAATTGCGTGAGTAGCCAATGGGAAAAAATTGGAAGCAAGACTGAGCACTGTTCCTGGGGGCCTTAAGCATCGTGATTGTGAGCATGCTGACGTTAGCATGAAGCTCAAAGCACGGCTGCGCCTAAGTACAGTCAGCCTCACAAAGCTGCTAGCGTGGCTGCAGACCACCAGTTGGAAAAATGCCTTCCGTTGTCATTTGTCTGTGATTAGAATGCAACTTCTTGTTTTAATTACGTATGACTTTTATTTTCCACTTCACTGGATAAAAATTTCCTCCCATAGTGTCCATCGTGTACCCTGAATCCTGTGTTGAGCAACACCACAACACAAATTGGCTTCAAGTTGCTAAGTGGTCTGTACATTATAAACTGCTTGTGCGCACTCCAACTCGCCACACAGGATATTGCCTTGTAATGAAGACAAGTTCAAGAAAGTCTGCTGAGACGCAGAGTGAAACGAGATTTTGAAAGCTCCACAATTAAAACATATCTCTTTGAAATCCCGGGCCAGGCTTTGCTACTTCATTCAAGCTTTCCGCTCCCTAATGTCCTATTATCTGATCTGGAGGGGAAGTGAAGTTTACACTGCTGATAGCAGCTCTGAATGATGCTGCCTGCGCACAACGCAGGAACTGTGACTCTGATGACCTCAATGACCATCCATTGAGAACACACACACACACAGATACAAACACACACACATTCACAGCTGACGTGACTGCTCCATTGAGAAACATGGAAAAAGGTCTTGGCCAGATGCCGCAGTTAAAGGCGGAGGAGTCCCTTTTTTAAAGCACTCTCACTGCCCCATGTCAGCACTGGCTTCATGGAGTCAAATGGCCATTAACTGAGAAACCTGACATAGTTATTCTTACTTTGAAATGAAGGGTGTTACAACTATACAGTGACCACAACAGCACATTTAAAGGTTAACGTTCCACAACTTGTATTCGCTGTACATTAGAATGCTGCCTAAGCGTAATTTCCCCCAACTGTTTTTACTTACCTGTGACCTCTGGGCTGTTAAAATGTTTTATGGAGACTTCTGGGAAAGGGGCTAATTGTGAATGAAAGGTTGTGCTTAAATGGGTTTGTGACCTACAGTAGCCCATGTTAATGTTTTAGTTATACCCTGAGGATGAATTTTCAAATAACAGGAAGAATAACCAGCTCCTGTGCAAAGGTTAGCAGCCATGGGGGTTCTTATTTTTCATCACATTGGCTATTCTAAGGAGTGTTTGCGGTTTATTATGACGGCTGATGTCAAATACTAACATTTCAGTAACCTTAAGATCATATCTAATTAGTTCCATCATACTGGAAAATAAGTGCTAACTAGAACAAATTGCAGGGTGGTGATGGATGTTTAGTTACTGATGTTTTATGTGAACACCAGAAATCATGATAAAAAGACTTGGTGTGAAATCTACTGAAATTATGCTCTCTGTGAAAAATGATTATACCTCTTTGCAGCACCACAGGCCTGCACATGTAATGACCATAATGATAGAGGCGACAGAGCTTTTTGGCCTGTTTTTGCTCAGTAAGGATCCTGCGGGCAAACATCATCCTCACTTTATATTTTTGGATACCGCAGGAATTTCATATGAGGCTTTTGTTTCAGGCACCTGCAAACCCAAGTTAGCCTCCTACATAGCTGTGCATGTTGATTGTGCACAACAAATGAGCTGTAAAGTCATGTGCCAGCTGTTAGCATTTATCACCACATACGGTCATGTGGGGGAAACATCCACAGATGCCTGAAGTGATGTGACTCTGAGTGGAGTGAAGACGTGGAGGCCAACTGAGTACAGAGCAAGACAGAGATGCTGGTGATGTTCATGCACTGCAAAGATGTTATTTAGTTCCAGTCTTTCAAATTTTTTGGGGTGAGAACATTTTCACTTTTCAGGGACATCTCTTGGCTGACATATTTCAAGCTTGTTTTACTAGAAAAACCTTAACTTCAGCAATAATGTGAGTTAGAATAAGTCTTATTCTGATGTATAAGATCCGGACACTTATTACTAGATAATGTGGAATGGTTGATATAAGCCACCGTGTTTTGGTTATGTGCTACTGTTATCATTACGAAAAATCAATGTTTTCCTCATTTGTCAGACTGTGAGTTAGGGAACAGGGCAAATCTTACCTTCAAGACATAACTCATAATGTGTGTTCACAGTGGTGTGATCTTAATATGTTAACATGACATTTACTCATATTTTCAGACCCACTTAGGCTATCCCAGCGTGCCCTGCTCAGACTTTAAGGCAATAGATTTGAATCCTGTTATTGCAGAGTGGTTACCATTAACCACTAAGTGACCTGCTGCCTTGTACTATTATAGTGTTATATGTCTGTATAGGTTCATCTCATTCATCCAGGTAATAGCCTACAACTTCCAGCCAAAATGAGTTATGCACTCGCTGTTTAACCAAACTGCTCTTCATTTGTGTTTGAGCTCAACTGTTATTTAAGCGTCCATAAGTGGGGAATAAATGATTTAACTGCTGTAGACTGAACTATGGGACTATAAGGGTTTGAAACTGTAAAATTAGTTGCAGTCTATGTTGTAGCTTTTGATGTAGGAGGGTAGACTGCTGCAATACAGTGTCTGGCCACTAGTGGCAGCACTGACCTTACTATTGCTGAACAGTGATCGAGAGAATCCCGCGCCATCTTTGATTTAACATCCGCCTTTTCTGTCAGCCACTCTGTACACCTGTACACAAATTGTAAGTCAGTAGACTTCTGTCAGCTTTCTGGTGAGTTATTATTATTGTCTTCTTCCTGTAACCACTGAGTGACCAAAATGTTTGTTTTCTGTGATACAGTAAGGTTATGATAGGTCTAGGTAGCTAAATTGTCAGTAACTGAAAGGTTGCTAAGCTAAAATTAGCAACTTTCTAATGTGTCTCAGCATGTCTTTCTAAAGTAGGTCAGTTTCATTAAGCCCACTTTAACCTAAAGGACTTTCTGGCAGCCTATATTGCAATTTTGCCCTCCCAGCATCTTCATGCTGTGTAATGTTACAAAACAGAGTAACGTTAATCTTTTAAGTGGTCAAGAAGTGTGAAATGTCATGTTAGACAGTGGCTAACGTTAGCCTAAAAAGATGCTAACGGTCAGACAAAGTCAAAGTATAGAACTAAATGACTTTAAAAATATTTATTTTAACTTTAACTTTACACCAGAACAGGTTTCAATGATAAAAACTAATAAGTGTATCTCAGGTAACATTAAACTTAAGGATTAGGATATAGTTACAGTCACAGTAACAAGTGGTTGTAGCTAGGTTAAGAGTTAAGGTTGTAAGTTAGCTGTTACTGGGTTGAAATCTTTGATAATCACCAAATAATTGAATTTACACAAAAATATGTCAGATATTTGATTTACTCAAGTGGTTATTTTATTTACTGATGTATTGTATCTTACTGTATTTTTTAAAATATATTTACAAGGTATTAAATTTGATATATTGCCCCACATTCTTGAAATTTAATGTAATTTTAGTTCGTCATAGCAGGAAAAGCACAGATGCAAATAATTACGTTAATTGATGGCTGTGTTCCGTTTAGGTTTCTCAGTTCCAGGGTCCAGATCCTGTTAATGCTCACTCGCTAGCTTGGCTCACAGGAGGACCTTATTGCAATAGAGTCATTAACAGTACTAGTTGCACCTGTGCTTTTCCTGATGTGACAAATCTAAATGTCTGTTGCTTAGTATTCTATGGCCCACCCCCATTAGATAGGCTAAGTCATATTTCCATTGTGCCTGAGCATGTATATAATTAATCAGGGTTTTAAAAAAATATAACTATTTATTGGCCAATGGCCATTGATATATATCACCAACACACAACAGTATCTTTTTTATTTATTTATATATTTATTTTTTATAACTGATACCACAATGTGTACTGAGCGGGACATTTTGCAGTTGAAAATTAAACTCAGTGGTCCCTGGTGGACAAACTATGTGATGGTGACACTGTTGTGAAAATACCTCAAACAAATTTTTGTCCTGTTGGGATGTCATAGCCAGTACAATTATACTGATATCTCTGTAATGAGCTAATAGGCAGTTTATTGGTCTGGCTCTAGCGTGTATGCCTATTTAAAATACATTAGAAAAAAACTGCAGAACAAGTTGTTTATTCTGTCTGTAGCTCTGTGTCTATGTGTATTGGGGGGTTTTCATGAATGAGGCAAGAGGCAGACTGGATAGCCCCCTCTTTGATCCTCCACATAACAAAGGCACCTACAAAGGCTTCCATGCAGCCTGTAGCATTGTTCTGCTGAGACTATAGCTCATAAAAGCGTTACCATTATCCCTACACAATACCTTTTCCAGCACCTACTTAAGACCTCAAATCACTACTGTATGTGGCCACGCTGCTTGCCAGTTTGCATTTTGTCACTCTATGATCCCATGAATGTCTAAGTATACAGCCATGCCCAGATTATCTTGCTTGTGGCCCCAGGGCAGGCATTTCCTATATGGGCCCCACCTCACTGTCATGGTCACCAATCTGCTCTGCACACTATGCGACTGTCCACCCCTCTAAAACCTGGTTAGCCCAAAGCCGTTGAAAGTATGTGAGCATGTCAGTATTTTTATAGCAGTCAAATATACAGCAGAATCACCCCATAAATGTATGTACTTCATGGGGTCAGTTCATTGAAACACTTCATGGTCACTGTAGTGTCCTGAGTATGGATCCTGTACAGGCTGGTGTTAACTTAGACTTGTACAACAGCCCCAAAGCACTTGTGAACAACCCAGTCATCGATCATATCACATCATCCAAAGTTGACACATGTGACCACTTGTGTCACTACAGTATATAACGGGAGTGGCTTCACTGTAGCACCAGTGTACCTTGCCTGGCTGATCCCGCCCCTAGCTGGGGAGAAAGCTGGTGCACAGGCTTGCAGCGGAGCCCATCGCAGTTGACTGTTTGAGCAGCCCACCCCTCTCTCTGCAGTATGCATGTTTGCCAGGGACTCGCGTTCACGTCCCTGCAGTGTACTTCACCGGCCAGAGACCATCTACTGAAGAGTCGAGGATAGGCCTAATAAAATTGGATGTGGCAGACGGACCAGAGGCGGAAAGCCCGGAGTGACCGGAGGAATACAGTATTACTACAGGAATACAGGCTGCCGCTCTCCTCTGAACGTGGACAATCATGCATGTGCTCTTCTGGGGCTTGGGGTTCCTACTATTCCCTGATTTCTTGAATGTAGTCGCATCTACGGGGAAATTGCTTTTGAATTCAAGCACAGGTAAAGTATGCCGCTCTGACAACCCCTGCGTTTTCCCCTCATGGAGTTATTTTCTAACACTGAGGGGCAGAGAATGAATGAGTTTTGAATTCAGCCATGCACATGACTTGCAGCGCTTTCTAGATACCTAAAGTTCACTGACTGATTATCATTTCTTCGCAGTGCTGTTAAAAACAACAGGTTTTTCAGGAAAGAAGACACTGATATGTAAATTATAATCTATCGATGAACACATCTGGGCTCTCTGATTTGTACTGATGCCATTGGACTGCTACTTAATCCTTAATTGCATTGTTGTTCTTCTGCCTTTATTCCGCAGTAAAAGAGGAGATCGGCGCTTATGAGATTGTAACACCGGTGCGAGTGAATGAAGCCGGTGACAAGTTTCCAACCAGTGTGCACTTCAAGAGGAAAAGACGAAGTTTGGACGAGAGCACCGGCAATACTACGGATCACTGGGCCTCGCCAAATATTCACTACAGGATATCTGCTTTCGGACAGCATTATCACCTCAACCTCACGCTGGATTCGGGATTTATCGCACCTCTCTACACTGTGACAGTACTTGGAGTGCCCCGAGGAGATAACATAACGGATTTTGCAACAGACGGGGAGGTGGAGGAGGAGGACACGGAATTAAGGCACTGCTTCTATAAAGGACTTGTAAATGCACAAGAAGAACACGCCGCGGTCATCAGTTTGTGCTCCGGACTGGTGAGTTTTTACGCACGGTTAGACTCGTCGTGCATGTGATGACTTTACGACCGGGTGTTTTACTTTTCCACCATGGGTATCTAGGGCCATTATTGCTTATACAAGAGTCGTAAAGCTGCCTCACCATTAGCTCAGAGGAAAATCAGTTTTGTAAACACATTGTCAGTGCAAACTTTGCGCGCAACCTGATTTTTGTATCGATCGTGCAATTATCATACTTAACATACATTATTGTGCGTGTAAACATGTGTTGGTGTTTAGGAGAGAATTTAAAACGGCCTATAACCCAGTAAAGAAAAAAAGTTGTATAAACTTATTGGTCACAGTGAGGTGAAGCTTAAGCTTATTTAAAAAATACTTTAAGAAAAAAACAGTGCTTGACTTGTTAAATCCTTTATTTGTAGTAGTAATCTGTCGTGGGGTGCTTCCAGGGACTAAGTAACTGTCAAAAAAGTTAACAACTGTGCTGACATGAAAGAGTCCCCAGTTATCTGCCTATAGTCACGTTTAATGAACACACTCTAAATCTTACTTCCATGCCTCTCTCGTCTCCCGTTTGTCGGTGACGTCTTTACGCACGCTAGTACAGCGGGAGTACGGGTGGTACCGACGTCATCACAAATTGGTCCCACTCCCAGGCTTGCTGAAGCATGAGCTTTGGAGTGGAGCAAAAGTGCAGTCCGAGTTTATACATAAAAGCCACAATGAGGTGACAGATATGAGTAAGTGGGCAATATCTTCCCAAATGACAAATCAAATTAAAAATGCTCTGAATGCTCTGTGGAGAGCTTTGGGGAGTTGAACTGACATTTATGGAGCATATCTTAATATTTATTCAAGACCTCTGAGGGCACATTTGTTCTAAAACAGGCAATACTGCTGATGGCCTCAATCTCTGTACATCCTAATGTGATACTTGTTTTCTTGCAGGGAATCTTGTAGGGGGAATCTCTTTTGCTTTGCCAATTCTCCAGGTCAATCAAAGTGCAGGTCCTAGCATAGTAATGGGAAGAGTGTTTTGCTCAAGGGAATGGAAAGAAGGAAGGAAGCTTCTCCTTGTGCCCTCTTGCTGAAGAACAATCTACCCTGAGGCACATTTTAGCACATGCAGAAGATTTTCTTGTTTTTCTAATGATAATCTTTTTCATACTTCATTGTCAAGAATTACAAATATGACTTGTGCCAAACATAAGTTTCCAAACTTGAATCAGCCTCCAGGGCTGCCACGATGATTCTCCACAGCCAATAAGCAACAAGTGAAATGTGCTTGGGTTGACATGTGCCTTATCTGGAGCATCATAGACCTCCAAGTTAGGCAGTCACACTAAACGTGCCATGTGAAATACACAGAACAAGGCTTTCAACAAGCTTGCCAAGAGGCTACAGTCTGACTGTTTTCCTGATATCCATCACAGGTCTCACTCCAATTTCCCTCCTGTTTTGAGACCATTCTTACTTGCATGCAGATTCGCTTATTTCACCTTTTTATGAATGCCTTTGGGTCTCCGCATTGCTTATTTTCTCTAATCAATAGTAAATGAGCCACATTCCACTGTTGCTTGTTATGAATAATTTGTAAGTAAAACATACATTGGGTTAGAGTGTTAAGGAGGTTCACTGATTTGCAAAAATATCTTTGAATTAGATATTTCTCTTGGTCCTGTCTGTGTAGATTTTATGCGTTCTCACTATGTTTGTGTATGTCATTGCCGTAAAAGCAAAAGTGTTTACAGAAAATGGATGAGTGGAGTCTAACTGGTGTGTTTCTTTCTGCCATCCAGCTTGGCACTTTCAGGTCTCCACAAGGGGAATATTTTGTGGAGCCCCTACACAGCTATCAAGGAGAACACTATGAAGAGGAACACACAAAACCTCATATTGTATACAGGAAGAGTGCACCCAAGAAACAGACATCTGGGGAGGACTCAGCTTGTGACACTTCAGGTATAGTGTACTACGTGATGGGTATGCGTGCATGCACGTTACACTGATAAGTCATTACGAATGTACACACACATACAGAAAGCACAAACATACACAGATGCAGACTTAATGCATCTACAAGTACACTTGCAAACACCAACATGCACAACTACTGTATGTGCAACCAGTGTTAATCCAGACCTCACCACTGAGGTGGCCAATCAGCAGAATTAAATATCTGCTCCTGTCAGCTGTCACCCAGTGTCTCCTTTCTAGCTAACCAGCACACTGCTGCTTGTGAGCACAAACCTCCTCAGGGCTTTATGTGTAAAAAACAGACAACAGCAAAAAAGTGTGTGTGTGGTTGGTTCATGTGCTTTCAAGTGCTGTCATGGGATACGTGTGGATTGTGTGTAGAGAATCGGCTATTTGTGTGTCTGTATGTGCATGCATTATGTGACTTTTAAATTGGTTCCCACGGACGTAAGCAGGCGTTATCATTGCATTATCCTCACGTCTACACTATCAGCTGTAACAGGAACGCATTACGTAATAGTAACTGAGCTTATTGAGCAATTGCTGTAATTGTATCACGATACTGTAGAATCATATGGAGCTTATCTGGTTAAAACAAGGAAAACCTTTTGAGTGTGTGTCTGGATACTGAGGTTGATTTTAAAATGCAAAGATTCAAGTGAAAGAAAATGGCTCTGCAGAGCTGGATACTTCACTGTCATCCAAGTCACAGAAAAATGGAACAAAAAAGGAAGGATGGGAAATGAAGGGAAAGGGAGATTGTAATTGAATGAATAGCACACTGTGGTTAACCATTCAATTGTTCTGTGCTAGGCTACACATTGTGATATATATGGTAATGAAATGGCATCATGAGTAGGCTACAAATAGAAATGAACGATGGAATTAATGTCAGTGTATGGTGTGAAACTATCTCAGCTGACATATCATGTCATAGCCTGCACAGCACAGTGCCTGCAGCTGCAGCACAGTAGTGAGGACGCTTTCCAACTCTCACACAGGAAAAATCATTTGGAAGTTCACCCTTGTATCATTCCATCTCAGTTTACTGGCTGAACTTCCTGTTGACTCTTGTACTTCCTCCTCCTCTTTGATAAGAAAGTTGGGTAGACCCACTGCCATGAACGTGCAGTGTAAACTGTATAGTAGAACAGTCATGCCACTTGAAACTATCACACGATAAAACTTAGAAAATAAATCTAGAAATATTTTCTCTTTGTCTGCTGGACAGCTTTCTGCAGATGTTTGGTTTCACTGTGTATATAGCTGTTTGTGTGTGTGTGTGTGTGTGTGCGTGCGTGCGCTCTTGTGCTTTGTATTTTGTGTGTTTTTCTTTTGGTCAGCTCTGTAATACAGTATGTGTATGTATGTGTGTGATACCATAGCCTGGAGGAACGTAAATTTGACTAAGAGCCATTTGTGGCCAAGAATAATTCATCCTTGCACAAAGTTCCGTTGTTACCTTGTAAGTTTTGAAGTAGAGCAAATTGTTCTTTTTTGATCATAAATCATGCAAACTGAAAGCAGAGCCACTAATGTGATACAGTCCAGCTTACTGTTATTTAGGTGGTGATGCATTGCTGGTGGTCTAGGAAGGGTGATCTGCATGTGATGAGGAAGCAGAAAAAAGACTGGCATTCAGCAGTTTTGTTGCCATGTCATGATTAAAATCAGAATTAATTCCCCTCAGTGCTAAGAGGTTTTACTGCCCACTTGTTGAACTGCCTTCTTTTGGTGTGTGCACTGCAGTTTGTGTTCCATTTTTTTATGGCTGGGTGCCAGGTTTACCTAGTCTGAACTCTTTGCCCTCATCTCTCCCCTCTCCTGAAAGAGTCGGGAGAGGAGAAAAAAAGGCATTCCAGGCAGCGTTCATTTGTCAACCCACTCTTTGAGCAACAATAAACAAAAGAGAGAAAAAGGCAGCAACTTATTTTAACAATACTGACTTCCAGACAGCCAACTTACCTCATTTATCTCCACCTTTAAAGACCACCATGACACACTGTCACAACAAACTTTGATTCATACCTTGTCTGTTTTTCTGATTGAATGTATTTCCCATCATCCCTTCATCGTTGTATATTTACACATGCTCCATTCCCTCTGACTTCTCTCTCTAGGGCACAAACACAGACACAAGAGACACAAGCTTAAGAGAAGGCCAGTGGCCGGGGTGACCACTGTGTCCAATGCAGCCCCTGTGGTCAGCGCCGGTATATTCAGTGCTGTGGAGTCACTGGGTGCCAGCCTGGCCAGCAATGCTTTGCTCAGATCAGAGAGCGGCAGTGCTAGCGCTAGACCATCAAATGATAGCAGCGGTGACTCAGGACCTCACAGGAGATCAAAGCGCTTCCTCTCCTACCCGCGCTTTGTTGAAGTCATGCTGGTGGCCGACAGCAAAATGGTGGAGCATCACGGCAGCAACCTACAGCACTACATACTCACACTAATGTCCATCGTAAGTTCCGCTCTGTCTTCATGACTGTGAGTAGAGAATGTTTGGTTGGTAGAGGCGGTTGGCTGGGAGATGGAAGTGTTTTTATGTGTGTGTGTATACTAGGCACATATATGGCCAGAAAGTAGCCACATGTGTGCATGTTTGTGCAATAAATGTATGTACCTGTTCTGCTGTGCTGCAAGTCAGTCAGTCGGCCTTTGGAGGAGGGCCATGGGAGGGAAAAGGGCAGCTTAGGGCAGGGGTAAACACCACTTTCAAACGGCCAGGGGGAAGAGAGGGCAGCTTGAGGTAGAACCTGCCTGACAGCTTTGATGAATGTTAAAAATAAGCTCAGGTATGTCACATAGACCGCATACTCTCGGCCACTTCAAATACCAGCTTCCGCAGGCGTCTGGGGCCGACAGTCCTCAGGGGGAGGCTTAGATGACCTATATTCTGTTCTTGGCAAAGCTTGCCTTCTCCACAGGGGCTCAGGCCATTATCAACTTGATCTTCCAATCAACCAAATTCCCCAGTACTTGCTTGAAAGTGCAGGAAGGCAGTCCATGACAGAGTTACCAGTAAATAAAATGTGTCACACTTCACCTGGATTGGAGGAGTACTTCACCCACAAAATGATCACTTGCATATTAGTTAGTCACCACATGTTATGTTGAAATTGTGAACAAAACTTTGTTTTTCTTGCATGCTTCCACAGTGAATGAAGAATCCAAAAACAGTGAAAATTCAAAAAGGGGATAACATTTAACAAGAGTAAAACCATTTCAAAACATGTGTTTGCATACTCTCACACAACTTGTGCAGTATTTATCCAGCTGTATGCTCAGTACTTCCCACACACGTGCATTTTCCCTAAAACCCAATATATAAAACAGTTGGATTATGCTGCTTGGGGTTTGTGAGAGTTTGTTAATGGATGTTTTGATATAGTTGTGCCGTTGCTAAATGTGGTCCGTATGACTTCTTAAATTTATCAAGAATGTCCACCTTTTTTGAATTTTTTTTGTTTGAATTCAACACAACATGGAGTAACTGATATACAAATAATTTTTTTGTGGGTGAAATATTGATTTAAATTAATGAAAATACTGTAAGATATTGATCCTGATATTAAAACTAGGATTGAGCTCATGTTCTGTTTGCTTTATTCAGGTATCATCCATCTACAAGGACCCCAGCATCGGCAACCTGATCAACATTGTAATTGTAAAATTAGTCATAATAAACAACGAGCAGGTAAGACTGCAAACTTTAAATCTCCATACTTACACTCTTAGAAGAAGAAGCATGTGGTGTGTGTATTTATCAGTTTATCTGTGTGTGTCCTCAGGATGGTCCAGTCATTTCATTTAATGCACAGACCACTTTAAAGAACTTCTGCATTTGGCAGCAGAGCCAGAACATCCTGGATGATAACCACCATTCCCATCACGACACTGCCATCCTAATTACCAGGTGCAAGAAAAATGTGAAGTTATCATATTCTTTGCTGAATACACTTTGAACAGGTTTTTAGGTCTTTCACACAGCCAAGTGTCCCATGAGCCAAATTACATTGTACTAAGTATAAATTATCGGAGAACCAGCTGCATCAAAGAGATACATTAAATGGGGTCCAGATGCCTGATGAATCGAGCTGCTGTTAAAAAATTAACCTAAATAAGAAGGATCCCCTTAAGGTTGGGGAAGTGTTCTTTTGTACTATGCCACTGACTGTGACTCATCATCTGTGTCTTCACCACAGGCAGGACATCTGCAGAGCAAGGGATAAGTGTGACACCTTAGGTAAGTGGATTTGCTTTTATATGTGCTGATAAACTTGCAACCTTTAACTAATATAAACTGTACTTTATATGTCACTGGTGGAATGATCATGAGGGAAAGTTGGTCAAACTGAATTGAGCCTCTTTCTCCCCGTTTTAAAGGACTTGCAGAGTTGGGGACGGTGTGTGATCCATACAGGAGTTGCAGCATCAGCGAGGACAATGGACTCAGCACTGCATTCACCATTGCCCATGAACTTGGCCATGTGTAAGCACAGCATGCTTCAACTGATTGTTTACCTTAAGTGCTGTCATTACTCCTAGTTAAGTGAAAGTTTTGGCTCCAGTGAGACATTGGTAGAGCTTCAGAAGTCTTTCTAGGAACCCACACATGCCTACCAACAGATGGGGATCAAGGAGTCTTGCGTGTTTGAACAACACAACAGCTGTACATTCCTTTATTGTTTTCCCAGTAATTTCTGATGCTTTGGTGTGTTTCTGATCATATCTCCTATTTTTTGCCTGCCTTTAATTTGGAGAGGAAAAGGAAAAGACAGTTTGTAAACTGGATTCTTACGCGTTCGAATTTACCAAAGGATTGTGTGGTTTTTGCGGCCGCTAAACCTGCACAGATAAAACAAAAAGAGTTCTCAAAGCACCCTCAAAGGGTGAAATGGACCTCAAACTGCTCTGCCAAGTAAATAGGACCACGGTGCTCCTGTGCTATTTGTATGTATTTTAGGTAATATGCATACAGTTGGTGCAAAATTGTCCATTTTCTATGCAAATAAGCCTCATTGCACAAACAGTCCAATTCACAAAGATCTGCACTAAAGAGCCACATACAGTTACAGTGAAATTATTTATGTCTTCAGAGAGTTGGTGGTAACTGAAGCACACTGGCAGACTGGGATATTAAATCTCAAATACAGTTTCTTTCTGTCACGTTTAAATTCCCTAAAGTTTTGAACAATGGCTATGCACCTCGTTAGTCAGAACCTGTAGCTCGCAGTCTTAAAATTTCAGTTTTCTATTATCTCTGTCATTGTTCTTCTGCCTGTGTTTTTGGTGCAAAGGCAGCATTTATACTTTACCACATAGATAATTGCAGTCAGACACAAAAAGGGCAAATTGCACTCAGCTGCAAAACTTTTTGGGCATATTTGGGCTGTAATAGAACAATGGGACCTTGAGATGCGACTGATAATGGTTATGAGTGATGTGTAATTCATGGTACTATCAGAGGCCGCAATCTAGTCTTTAAATTTGCCTCTCAGAATTAAGGTCAAACTGTCCAACATCCTGACTCAGCAGTGGGATTACAGTGGAGACTGTTACAGACCTTAACAGCCCTCATCATATCTTACGAATGCTACGACTAACCACGAAACAAAAGGTGGGATTGTTCAATTCCACGTTTATCCGCGTCAAGTGGTGACAACATACTTGACGCCTGCTTAGCCCCAGAGCTCAGTGTTATATGGTACCTGTCAGGTAGGGGGCTGAGTAGCTCAGAGGGAGGGCGGCGGGCAGGTTGGTGCTGTACGTATCCACCTCCTGTCGGGATCTTACTTGCTCACCCAGCAGGAGCCTGATTGCTTCTTTTATACTCACTGTGCCCTGACTTTCATATCTAAATTCTTCCTCTATCTTATAACCAAGTGTTCATATAATTTAATATTGTGCTAGTTTCATTCCAAACTCCCCACAAGCTGGAAATACAAATGCTCTGAATCATTTTCAGCTGTAACTGTGAACGGGTTTCCTAAAGCCAATATCACAGTGACAGCGGAAATATAGAATCAATGTTTAGATTTAAAACATGTGCTCGAGCAACTGAAACACACTGAAGCACAAAACAACTAACATTTTTCAATTGGAGTCTTATCGATGTTGGTTTGGCGCAATACTAACATATTAAAACTTTAAAGTCCCAGTCAGAAGTAATATAGAGGCTTTCATCACCATGAAACTGGCTTTTGTTACATTAATCTTTGCCAAACATTGCTCTTATGCAGCAGTACATCTGTGTGATATAAACTCTAACCAACAGAATCATTACTAGAAGAAGGAAAGAACTTCCCTTTTGATGTAACATATTTTATGATACCTTAACACAATGATACCTTTTTGTGTGCTCTCTGTAGGTTCAACATGCCTCATGACGACAGTAACAAGTGTAAGGAGGATGGAGTTAAGATTCAGCAACATGTGATGGCTCCTACACTTAACTACAACACAAACCCTTGGATGTGGTCCAAGTGTAGCAGGAAGTACATCACAGAGTTCCTCGAGTATGTCCTACTTTTTTCTTTAGGATTGTTATAAACATGCATGTAGATTATGTTTTTTTCTGTTTCTACTAAGTTTCTGAACTCAAACAGCCTGAAATCAAATAGGATATGCAAAGTAGTAAAGCCAAGTCAAATAACTGTACACTTTAACTTTATATTTTTGTCTAAAGTCATTTTTATTTTAAGCCTCTGGCCAAATATTCTACTGTACTTTTAAAACCGTATCACAGAGATTTCACAGAAATGTTTCCTTAAACCTACAAACACACACACAGTGTGCAGTGTACACTGTATGCAGTTTTTTCCACTTTCAGCAGCAACAGTCAAATGTTTAGGCCTAAATACAAATAAACTGTCATCATTTCTCAGGGCTGTTGCAGCCTCTAGTCTCTTCTCTCCCTAAGGCTCCTCATCCTGCTGAGCAACACCAGGAACTCCTACTGTAGGGAAGAGTAAAAGGGATAGTATCTGGCAACTAACCAAAATCCCTTTCTATACCCCCTACTATCCAGAGTTCTCCCTACATCCCCAACTCTTGAGATCACCACCACTTACTACATATAGCTGAATACAAACAGAAACCCGTCAAGATACTGAGCAAGCTGTGTTTACAGTAGGGGTTCTATATATGTACAGAAAAATGACCTCTCCGGCTGTACTGAGTGTGTTTTCTGTCTGTTTGTGTCTCTTGTTTCTCCCTTTTTTCTTTAAGTCATTTTATTTTTATTTCTTAATAGCACAGGATATGGTGAGTGCTTGCTCGACGAGCCCGTTTCTAGGCCGTACAGTCTCTCGCAGCAGCTGCCTGGACGGATATACAATGTCAATAAACAGTGCGAATTGATATTTGGGCCAGGAACGCAGGTGTGCCCTTATATGGTAAGCGGAGTCAGTGCACGAATCTAAACTGTCATGTTGCACATGTTGGTCTCTGAGGGAAGCCTCTTGTGTTATGATCATGTGCTCAGCTGAATTTAAAGCTTTTCAAGTCACTCGCTCTGTTTAACTACATACTGATTGTTCTTTCTGAGATACAAGCAAACAAAAACAAATTTTATTAATTAATTTAATTTAATTAATAATTTAATTTAAATTAATTTTATTAACATGTAAAGCGTGATCTCTCAGTGCCCATAAATTCTGTTAAGACACGAAAATGAGAGGGGGTTGAATCTGGCATGAATCATCACATCAAACCACCCAGATGTCTTGTTGAACTTTAAATGAATACTACAGAAATGTCTCCAAAATAGGTGTAACACCCTTAAGCAGTGTGGAATAGTTCTCTTGGCTTGTGTTTTCTGGCCAGACAGTAAGGTGTAGAGAGCCACTGACTGAGACACATCTGGCTAATGAGATGGCTGATACAGCAAAGCTAGTGTATAGAGTCACCTTCTGGCATAATGTTTTATAATATGCAATAAATTGCACGTCTGCCAACTCGGGTCCATATATTAAGAGTTTCTCTAAAGTGATGCTACTCGTATGACATTTACGTGCCCTGTCTTTTCCTGTAAATGTCTCATGGTTAACACTGTGTGTGTGTGTTTCTCAGACTCAGTGTCGGAGGCTGTGGTGCACCAGTCCAGAGGGTGCCCAACGGGGCTGCAGGACTCAGCACATGCCGTGGGCAGATGGCACTGACTGCTCCCCTGGAAAGGTAAGTGTCATGTGGAAATGAAGACAGATGCTTAGAGCAGGGTGCTATTTATCTGGAAGTATCTGGAAGAAAAATTTAATACTTTAAGTATTTTTCTGATAATAAAAATGAGTTAGGAGCAAGAAGTAAGAAATCAAACTGTGTTTTATTAAAAGTTGTAATTTTTTAATGCTCCACGGAATTGCCAAAATTTATCCATTATTACTCATATGTTTCTGTGTTATGATCTGACAATTCTCGCCGCATTTCCTTGTTTTGATCTTACAACTTTTCCACTGACTCATGACCATAAAATTGTTCACAGGCGTTGTGTGCAAAATAACAAAAGAAAACAAGTTTCTAAACACGTCCCAAGAATTTACTCACCATCGACACATGTATAAACTCTAGCAATTGAACATGGCTCTCATGCAAGTAGGTGACATGAAGTTGTGAGTGATGGAGTTTTCTCTCTGGGCGACTGTCTTGGTGCAGCTTTTAATTAGGACTTTCTCACTAACCCCTTGCTTCCTGCCACTAAGACTGAGAGAACATAAAAGCGACATGAAGTCCAACGACACTCAGATACACACACATGTTGAAACCTTTTCATGTTTACACCAACCTCTCATCCCATGCCATGCCGGGCACCAGACTAAACACTTAAGCTGGAGTCTCTTTGTTAAACAGTGTAAGATTATCCTCCTGTTATGAGCTGAGATATATTTATTGACTGTGTGCGTGATGTTTCCTTGTCTTCTGTCCAGCAAGATCCAGCCATGGAATATCTTTTCAGTTCCTATTTTTTCCATTTGCATCACTGTATAATTTCTCCCAGATTAGCATCAAAGCAACGGAGAGCAGATAGATGTGTTGCCAATTCTATGGATAAGATTTCATATGCTCACTCTGGCTGTTCCTCTCCCTCTTTCCTCCTCTTCCTTTTCTTTCACCCGTTTACCTCATTTTTCTCCCTCTGCTCCTATTCTTGCACGTTCATTCATCTGACTTTTTTCTTTTCTGTTTCTCTCACTGCAGCACTGCAAACACGGCCTGTGTATAGCCAAAGAGCACGATGCCACACCTGTGGAGGGGGCATGGGGAGTTTGGAGCCCTTTCGGTACCTGTTCGCGGACATGCGGCGGGGGCATCAAGATCGCCGTGCGTGAATGCAACCGACCCGTGTGAGCAGTCCCTCTCTTTGTAGTCATGCATGCCTACTGGACCTTGTCTCCATCTTAGCTGCCAAAGTCAATGTTCCATAGATCAAGCCTCCTTAAGGGAATTCTTTCCATAGCGAGTGTTCATCAGGACAGGCCCTCTGATGGCAGATCTTGCAGGGTTGTTTCCTGGTAAATAAAGAGATCCCACAAGTATCTTTGAATGTTGCCTTTCATCCGAGATTAAAAGACAGATTAAGGATGAGAATGACTTTGAACCTGAAAACAACACCAAAGGCATACTCTAGGTGTGCGGTGGTGAGCAATGGGGTGAAAGGGAGAATGGGCAGATAGATGAATGTTGCATAAGGTTAAAATATTTGCTAAATTAAACTAATGATTGGTTCCTTCACTTCCTCGATCTTGCTTCCAGGCCCAGGAATGGAGGAATGTATTGCGTGGGTCGCCGAATGAAGTTTCGTTCCTGTAATTCTGAGCCCTGCTCCAAGCAGAAGAAGGACTTCAGGGAGGAGCAATGTGCGGCTTTTGATGGCAGGCACTTCAACATCAACGGTCTACCTCCTAATGTTCGCTGGGTGCCCAAGTACAGCGGAAGTAAGAATCCTTTTTTTTGTTTAGCCAATGCATCCTGCTCGCTTTTTTTTGTCAATCTTGTCTTATTGGCGCATAGTAGACATGATGCAAGTTTGACATTGACATCTATTTATATTAAGTGTGTGTCTCTGTCTCTATTCCTTTGTCAGTCCTGATGAAGGACAGGTGTAAGCTGTTCTGCAGGGTGGCAGGCAGCACGGCCTACTATCAGCTCAGGGACAGGGTCATTGATGGCACGCCATGCGGACCTGATACCAACGACATCTGTGTCCAGGGCCTATGCAGGGTGAGGTTCCTAACTCTTATTAACTCTACAACACTCAGCCGCATGGTTCAAATGCATGTGTATAGCTAATTCTGTTATCATAACAAATGGTGAGCATTCTTCACAGTTACTGTGTGATGTGAATATAATCCATTTTCAAAAAGCTTTTCAATCCTTTGCCAAACCAGAGTGTGTTTGTTTCCTCAGACCTGTGACAGATAGATTTTTAGTTTGAAAGCTTGATTACTAACATACCGCACACATCAATATGCTTGAAAGAAGCAGTGGGTTGCTTTGTGTACACTCTAAACCACACACAGTGTTTTGGTTAGATTGTGGTTCGGTAAGTTCTCTTCCTGGCCTTGGCAAGTGGATTTTGATCCATGCTGTGGTACTAAGGCTAAGCTCTCCATCCTTTACAGAAAATCGAAAATTTATCTTGCTAAAACCAGTTACAAGCAGAGCTCATGCCATTTCCTAGTGTGGTGTTTTAAAGGAAATTTATTTCAGATGGGCGTCAGTGAAAATGGCAATAACTCAGTAAGTCCTTATGTAAGCATTTAAGGGTCACTGGGTTTGATTTTTTTCTTTCATAATCAGTATTTCATCAGGAAATAAAAAATAAAAGCCAACTAGAGAGCCATTTATCTGACATGTAAATACTGCAGTGTTGATCTTTTGCCAAGCAACTGGAATTAAAGAGTGTTAGCTGAAAAAAGTCTTTATTTTGTTTTGGAAATTCGGTCTTACTCTCTTTTATCCCCCATCTAATCTTCTATCTTGCTTTTCATCTTCTCTTTCACTTTTTCCTCCTTTTCCCCTTCTCTACTGCTACCATTTATATTACTCCTGACATTTTCTTATTTCATATTTCATCCCTCCCTTCTACCTCTTTACTGCGCAGCAAGCGGGCTGTGACCATGTATTGAACTCCAAAGCCAGGAGGGACAAGTGTGGCGTGTGCGGAGGTGACAACTCTTCCTGCAAAACTGTGGCAGGCACCTTCAACATCGTCCGCTATGGTGAGCTACAGCCTCTTTTATTACGCTATCATTTCACTTTCAGCAAGTATAGAAGACAGCAGCTCTTGTTATATTGCTTTAACACATTTTTATATGAGCTTAGTTGTCACAGTAAGTTTCACTGAGAGTGGGGCTCACTTTATATCATAGGCACTGACTGGTTATGTCAAAAATATTGATTTATTGATACACATTGATTCTGAATATTTCAAACAGTTTCAAATTTAGCATTACTCATTTTCCACAGTATTAGTACACTGGTACTAGCTGCGTGTTCTTGCTGTCTCCTCTTGTTAATGTTAACTAACCAACGACCGAAGTTGTCATTGTCATGTTATAGCCTTATTATAAATATATTTTAATTAAAACTTTCAAATTGAAGGCCCTCACTGTCAAGTTTTTTCTCATGGTGTCAAAGATGGTATTGAATATCACATTTTAGGGTATTATATCAAAGTTAAAAATTTCAGTATCACAACAACACTAGCACAGACCTCAGTCTACTAATGATCTAAACACACCGCTTTTGCTATTTGCAGGCTATAATGAAGTTGTGCGAATACCCAGTGGTGCTACAAATATAGATGTACGTCAACACAGCTACTCAGGGAAACCGGAGGATGACAACTACCTCGGTAAGACATCCAACATTTTCATTCATTCATTCATTATCCGTAACCCGTTATCCTCATTCAACATTTTGTTTAAAAGAAACTGCTGTTAATATGTTCACTGTGTTTCCACATTTCCATACATACATCCATTTCTAAAGCAGTGTGCTTCTGAGTGCTTCGGTGTTTTGTCTCTGCCTGCCAGTATATGTTATTGAAGGTGTACAGCTTTTACTATAAGGTCATGTACTGCAGACCTAAGGAGATGGCATATAGTATGCATGCTAAAACGTTAATGAGCCAGAACTAGGCCTGTGGGTGCCATTCCAGCAAGGTCAGATAGTTTATAAGTATTTGCGTCTCGTGTGTGTGTGCAGCTGTATATTTTCCTTGGTTTTGTGAATGCATGTCTGTCTGTACCATATGCCTGTTTGGATATGGATGCTTTGTCAGCCATTAGTGTACATGTCATGTTGGCATGAGCATGCTAATACTTGAGCTCACATAGCCCTCTGGCTATCATTCCATCAAGGTCAACAAATATGTGTCTGTATGTTTAGCGTGTATTTCTGCATACTGCTGTTTTTTGTTTAGTTTTTTCTTTTAATCATCAGCGTTTTTGTGTTTGCCATTTGTACTCGATTATATGCCACCACATAAACTTATGAACATGGTTTTTCAGTTGTCGCCCCTTATTGTGTGTGTATATTTGTCTGAATTTGTTTATGGCACAGTTATTAGGGGCCCAAAGTGGAGATGATTTTGCCGGAATGAGGGCCGCTCTCCACGGTCACATTAGTGTAATGTGTGAAATGGCGAGGAAAGTAAAGGCAGGAAATTAGCTCCATAATCGCATTAGGGTGAATGAGTGCAGCAGACTGGCTGTTGAACAGAGCAGGATGCCCCTGGATGGGACTTTTACAGGAACAGATGATTATTTCACCCCAAAAAGACTTTACTGCTGTCTACTGCATGTGCCTTACTGTAAATGAAAACATGAGCCATGGTCTTTTTAAGCAGCCCTGTCACATGTAATTGTGTACTTTCACTTGTTTCTCTCCTCAGAATGATCAATTGCACAAATCATTTTACTTTCTTCATTTTTTCTTTAGTTATTATGTGTCAATTATGTAAGGCTGAACCAAATGTCATTTTTTATATATTCAAAGTTTTTATTGAGGTTTTGAAATTAAGATTAGAATGTCTGTCATCATGTTTCCACTCATCACTCTTAAAAGATATTTTAAAAATCTGAATACATAGAAAATTCTCGATTGGAATAAAGTGTTTCATCATTTTTATTACATCAACTTTATTTAATGACTATAACTTGTCACTTTCATCAAGATAAATACATTTAGGCAGCAGGCTAATCTGATAAGGGCATAAAATAATGATGAAATAATAAACACGCCCTTAGGCTTTTAGAAACATTATGCTACAACACAACAATCCTATGCAGCCACCACTGGAATCTAATTTTTATAAAAGTATAATATTAGTGGTATTAGCATAGCCTAATCTTTATCTGTACATGTGTAGAAAAACTGGGTTTAAACAGAATGAATGAATATGCAAAAAGCTATGCAGCATTAGAAATCTGAAAGCCTTAAACTATTCAGTGCAGCCCTACACTTAAGCATGGATAATTCAATCTTACATTCTGTCACTCTGTCTCTGTGGGATCAAGCACAGTAAGTGTTTTCTGTCTCTCTGCAGCCATATCAAATAGCCGTGGAGAGTTCCTGCTTAATGGAGAGTTTGTGGTCAGCATGTTCAAAAGGGAAATCAAAGTAGGAAATGCCATCATCGAGTACAGTGGTTCTGACCATGTCATTGAGAGGATCAACTGTACTGACCGCATCGAGGAGGAGATCATTGTCCAGGTAAATTGTCCTTGTCATGATAGCTTAGTGTGCCATGCAGAATATGCAGAGCTAGACTGATTTAGAAGCAGTGTCATGAGTGAAACTTGTGCCACTTAAACTTAAATACATCTACAGGCTTGACCTCTTAAAGCATTTTTTTTTTACTTGATTTGTATGATCTATGATGTTTAAAACTCATAATCTTATTGTATTTTAATGCATATCGTCCGCAGGTGCTGTCTGTGGGGAACCTTTACAACCCAGATGTCAGGTACTCCTTCAACATCCCCATAGAAGACAAACCTCAGCAGTTCTTCTGGGATGCCTATGGGCCCTGGCAGGAGTGCAGCCGCCTGTGCCAAGGTGAGGGGGAGGCACAAGGGGTTGGCACAGCGAGATGATGGGAGTGGTCAATGATAAATGGTGTGGTGAGAGTAAAGACGAGATGGAACAGCGAGAGGAGACATGGGAACCACTGAGCCTGAGGCACAGGAGAGAGGATTGTCTGGCTAAACTTGACAGCTTCATGCTAGACATAAACGGTTTGGAACAAGTGATTAAAGTTTGACCTCATAGTATGCTGGGTCAGATTATTTTCTTTGACATGACCTTGGATATGTTGGAGTATGTAGGCGTGCAGAGGCGGATCGCAGGTAAACTCTAAAACCTGTGTGTAATGACTCAAACACTTTGTCTGAGAATTTCGTTCTCCACTTTTTGACACTGCGCTGCTTCAACAACCAACAGTAAATTCCAAAGAGAAACCAATGAGTTCACACAGCAGGATAAACAGATAACATGTAAAGCCCTCAGCACCTTTCGATTTTCCAATTTATGCGGCCTTTCTGGCAGTCTGGAGCACACGAAGCTCTCACAGCACTGAGCTGCAAAACTTTGTAACATGAGGTACTGATAGAGAATCTATTTCCTGCAGTCACATGAGGTTTAAATCTCTCTCCCCTGCACAGTCGGTGCACTGTGATTCAAAGCAGGGATGTCAACACAAGAGCCAAGGTGAAGCAAACACACTGCTGCTGGTAGTCATTGCGATCCTATCATGATCTATAATGTACTTGAATGAGCTGTTGCACTGGCTGAGACAACTACTTGTAGGTCTTACAGAAGCTGAGGTCAGGCAGTGGAAGGTAGTGGGGTTTTGTTTGAGGATGAAGTTACAAAACCTTGGACTGCAACTCATAAATTTTTACACAGTCACTCATGCCTTTCTCATCAAACAACATACAAATGGAGCAAAATACATTTCTTTATTTAAAACCTAAATATACAAGTTTTCCTTAAAGGGGTTCTTCACCCCCCCCCAACTGATCATTTGTTTTTCAAATACTCACCCACTGTTATGTTAAATTTTGTGAAGAAAACTTTGTGTGTTTGCATGCTTCCATGGTGAATGAAAAATCCCAAAACAGAGAAAATGCTTAACGGACTGAAGTCATAGCGACCGCGTTGAACAACAGCAAAACTATATCAAAACATCCGTTCACAAAATCTTACACAACTCATGCAGTATAACCTAAGTCTCATTGATGCAGTTGTATGCACAGTGCTTCCCAAAAATCATCTTCCTATAAACAGTGCAGGCACACTACTTGTCAGTACATGAGACTGTTAAAGTGTTTAAAAGGTCCAGTGTGTAGGATTTAGTAGCATCTAGCAGTGAGGCTGCAAAACTGAAACTTCTCCCATGTGCCGAGCATGTAGGAGAACTACGGTTTCAGACAGGAAAACGCAAATTGCCCCATCTAGAGCCAGTGTTCGATTTGACTGTTTTGGGCTATTGTTGAAACAACATGGTGGACTCCATGGAAGAGGACCTGCTCTGTATGTAGATATAAACAGCTCATTCTATGGTAACAAAAACACCATGATTCCTAATTTTAGGTGATTGTAAACTGATTAGTATGATTATTATATACAATTTCTGCCAATATATTTCCCTAAATCCCACACACTTGACCTTTAAATATTGCGGTTTTAGCAGAAATGCACGTTTGGGAAGTAATGAGCCTACAATTGAATAAATGAGACTTGGATTTTGCTGCCAGAGTTGTGTGAGAGTTTGTAAACAGATGTTTTGATATAGTTTTGTTGTTGTTGTACATGTCCTCCTTTTACTCCAATTCATCATGAATTTTCCCAGTTTTTGGATTCTTTGTTTACTGTGGTGGAATGCAAAAATTCAGTGTAACACAGGGTGAGTAATTGATATACAATTGATCATTGGGAAGGGGCAGAAGTATTCCTTTATATCATTAATGGTGGAGCTAACAAGAGATGGTAATCTCTGCAATGTTTCAGTATTTGGCATATGGTGCTTAAGAATTCAAGAGAAACCTTGACTTTACTTTTTAGATTTTTTTAATTCCAAACTTGCATCATCATGTCTTCACAGGAGAGCGCAAGCGGAAGATTCTGTGTAGCAGAGAGTCAGACAGGGTGGTGGTGTCGGACCAGAGGTGTCACGGTACAGCCAGACCTGCTGTCATCACTGAGCCCTGTAACACTGAATGTGAACTCAGGTTTGTACAGTTCAAACTTCTTTTAGTACCTGTATGAACCAAACAATAACTTTTTTGTCTCACGTCACTGACAAGGATTTCCCCTACCACCCACAATGCAGGTGGCATGTTGCTCGTAAGAGTGAGTGCACAGCTCAGTGCGGCCTGGGATATCGTACCCTGGAAATATACTGTGCCAAAATCAGCCGTGCAGATGGTAAAACGCAGAAGGTTGATGACCGCTACTGTAGCGGTCAGCGCAAACCTGATGACAAGGAAGGTTGCCATGGAGACTGTAACCCGGGTGGCTGGGAGTACTCGCCTTGGACAGAGGTAAGATTGTTGTAGGCAGCGTGGGGTTTGTGTGTGAGCATAATCCAGATGTTTATCAAAGTTTATCACAGGTTGTGTATACGTGTTTACACTCACTTATGTTCAAACACTTGTGCTGCAGTGCTCCAAGAGCTGCGGTGGAGGCACCCGCCGTCGAGGGGCAGTGTGTCGAAAGGCAGCCGAGGCTGGCGGTGATGAGAGCAAATGCAGTCAAAGGGACAAGATGACCGTCCAACCCTGCAATGAATTCCTCTGTCCACAGTGGAAGACTGGCGACTGGTCTGAGGTCAGTTCAGCTCTTATTGTGCTCTCTTGCCCTCAAAGGAAGAACAATCTGATATTTACTGCTCACATAAAGGAGATTGAGGAGATGATAGCATATACACTTCATGTTTACATTAAAATGTTCCTTTTTAATTTACAATCACATACATAAAAAAAACATCTGAAGAGGAATGAAGGCTATGTCATCTGTTTCTGTTAAAGCATACATTTACATGTGGCTTGTGCATATATATTTATTTGTGAAGAAGACTTCCTGCTGTTTATGAAGCTGTGTTTAGTCAATGTAAAGAAAAAACTTTAAATATAGTAGTTTTAAGCCAGCAAAGTTCTGGGTCAAATGTAAAATCCCAGTGTTGATTGTGCATGTCTCAGCTTTGGAAGACTTACTCCCCTCCTTCCAGTATAGTGAGTGTTGGGAAATCGCTGATTGCAGGGTGAGATTGTACTTAACTGCTGTACAGTTTATACATTGTAGCGAGGAGCTTGCAAAGCTTTGGGCCTCATTCCAGGAATATTTCAGATCTCCCATGTGGTGCTGATAAATACAAACATATACACTGCACTGTACTCAAACATAAATAGACACCCTGGCCCCGTCTTTTGGTCCCTTCAAACCGTTTTTTGTTCTAAATCTGCATATCCTGCTTTTCACAACACCAAATGATCTTCATCTGTCGTGAACTGGACTTCCAGCAGCCTCAATGCCTGACAGTAACCAGTGTTCATGTAATATACTGTATATGTATCTCTAAAACCTGAAATGCTTTCCTTTCAGTGCCTGGTGACATGCGGGAAAGGCTATAAGCACCGTCAGACGTGGTGTCAGTTTGGTGAGGACCGTTTAGATGACCGCTTTTGTGGCTCATCTAAACCTGAATCGGTGCAGACATGCCAGCAGCAGGAGTGTGCCTCTTGGCAGGTTGGACCATGGGGACAAGTGAGTGTTAACAATAGTGTATAGCACACACAGTGATCAAAAAAATAATTTGTGGGGAACAAGGGTATGTACTAATGCCGGGGTATAGCAGATGAACAAATCCAGGGGCATACCTACTTTTAAGGTATACTATACAGGATTTTCCTAAAAAAAAAAAATAATGTAAAGACTCTTACAGAATTGAACTCTCTCAATCATCACTTATGACCCACTAGAAGTTTGTGGCAGTGTATTTATCTGTAGAGACTCTGCACAGTGGGCGGATAAGGTCAGAACAGTCTAAACGTAGGCTGGTGTAAAATGATTAAAACCTGGAGCATTGATGAGGTCTGGAGTTTTCGGTTCTGCTATTGGTACCTCAGGAGTCGGGATTTTTTGTTGGAAGTAAGGTTTATTGAGCAATTAATATCAGCTTCGCTAACAAGCATGACATAAATCTGCAGAAATGCAGTTCTCAAATGTTTAGCTAGCAGCCCTCCATCCTTGTGTACTGCAAGTAATGCTAGCTATGCCATACAGAGTTTGTTATGTTATAAGTTTGAACAAGGAAAAGGATAATAAATGAGAGCTCATCACTTCGCTAATTGTTTAGCTACAAATGTCCCTGAACCTGGGGTTGGCTTTCAGTTTCGCAGTTAGTGACAATTCCTGCATTGTACACATTTTAAGGATGTTAATTAAACCATTTATATTCCAGAGTAGGTGAAACAGCAGATCGTCTATGTTGGAAATTGCACTGTTAGTCTTATAGAGACATCAGGTGCTCTTTTCTAACATTGGTCTGTTAATCTCATAAAATGAAATAATCTGAATCATACAGTGCAATACTGTACTATACATCTGTGCTTGATTTGAGTCTTATATCAGGAAATTTTTAATTTTTTTAATTGAAGGCTAATTCAGATATCTTGATCCACAGCCACTGCTTTCATATATATGTATAGAAGTCTGCCCAGTTGATGGGAAGCAGCACAGAGGCTGACGTTTATAATTACTGTTGCGTCTCTGGTGAATTCCCCTCTGATGTAAACCGAGGGGAGGACACAGATAAGCTAAGCTCATCATTTAGCACTGTCCCTTTTTCTTTTGCCTGTTTATACACAGAGCACATCCTGCCAAAGTACATAAACAAAGGCTATTGATGATGTGGGTGGGCGTGTTCTCTTACAAAAGAATTATATAGAGCTATGCATACAGTATATAGTGTCAGTGTGTGCAGGCTCAGTCTCATTTGTGTGTGTGCACAGAGAACAGAACACCCAAAAATTTGAGATATTTTTGTGCCCCCCATCAGAGGATGTGCGCACGTTAAGGTATATTTGAAGTCGTTAAATGAAGCGTGATCAAATGGTTGTTGAAGTTGCCGCCACACAAGTTTGACCCTGTTTCACTAGAGGCAGTGAGGCAGAAGAGAGCGTGGGGTAGTATCCTCTGACTTGGCTACAGTGGAAAGAAGACAAGTGCAATGTATATGAGCAAATAGGCTCCTCATGTATTTGATCTTGAGAGTCTTATCTGCTTCAAGCTCTGATCTTGGGATATTTGTCAGAAGAGTGGAGGGGTAAAAGAATCCTTTTTATTTGCCAACCCTGGTTTACGGTTCTTTTTATTTGTTTGTGTGTGGGAGTTGCTGTTTTGGCTCAGATGAACTGTCTGTTTTTTGCTTGCCGTTTTCTCTTTGGCTCAGTGTTGCTAATGTTCCCCCCACCACTCCTTTTTTTCCCTCTTTGAACCCAGTGCACTACCTCGTGTGGGCCAGGCTACCAGATGCGAGCGGTGAAGTGTGTAGTTGGCTCTTATGGTGCTGTCATGGATGACACTGAATGTAATGCTGCCACCCGGCCCACTGACACCCAGGTAAGGGGGGCATTCTCTTCCTTCTCTCCTTGCATCTTTTCTCCCTCTCTAACACCTTTCCTCTGCTTCTCACAACTGTCCACAATCTCTTTACCTACTCCTCGCTTTTAGAGCAACAGTTGTTACATGACTGAGTCTCTAACTGATTCATGCTGTGAGGAGAGAGGGAAGCATCTACGTTCATGCACACTGACACTCAAAACACACACAGACAAACACACATTTCATTTCCACCTGGTCTCAATAAAGCTCTGTTGTCTGATCTAGTCTGGACTAGAGGGAAAGACAGAGGGGGAGGTTATACCAACCTCACTATCCATACATTGAGACACACAACTCTGAGACAGAATCTCCCAAAAGAAAGCCCAAATGTTTTACAGTGTTGTTCTGCGGAACGCTCTTATCTTCATTATGTAAGAGACACTAAAGTCTGGCAGAGGGTATGTGTGTCTCTCTTCAAAGTATTTGCTCTTAGTTTGAATCTTGCCTATACCTTCACTTTAAAACATCCCATAGTTGTACTAAAGACCTAGTTGCTCTAGTTGGAAAAGGATTTTACAGTTTAAAAAAGTTTGCTCCTATATACTCTACCCACTGGTTATGCAGGCTGAGAAAGGGTTTACATGTGGAGTGGTTTTTGATGTCTAACTGTGCTAGTGCACCCGTTTGTTAAGTGTTACACACACACACACAAAGAGACACAGGAACACCAAAGAAACCTATTTTGAGCTGAATGAGAGTTTTGTTTGGTTAGCGAGGGGCGTAAACCCATTTCAGAGGGCTGAGCATGCACACTCAGTATGAGGCCCCCTCTAGTCGCAGCGGCTCTTAATTCCGGTGCCTGGGCCGACAGAGCCAGTGACCCTGAAGCAGTCGCCCCACCTCGTTGTGATTCTAACCAGCCAGCCATGAAGTGGGCCACCAGCCGCCAGTCCCACCAGCCACCAAGCAGGGCTTAGAAAAAGGACAGATAGATGGATGGAGGTCTGAGTACAAGAAGGAGAGACGTGGAGGCAAGAGATGCTTTGCTCAATAGCTTCGCCTATAGATTGTATAGAGACTGAACAGTTGTGAACACTGCTTGGGTTTGTTAGTTATAAAAGCCCTAAAGCTGTAATGTACATGCATACACATAAACTCAAATGATCATCACAAAATCATATTTTATCAGTTTATATGTAAAATGTGAGTCCAACAGGAAGTGTGCGTAGAGCTACTTTAAGCGCTACCATGAGGGCTATTTGCTTCCATCAGGAGGCAGAGTGTGGAATGTGGAGCCTGCTCAGGGCCTATGCAACCTGATTAAGGCCCTCATTCCTAGAGACTGGGGGTCAGAGGGCACCAGAGGGCATGGGGGAAAACTAGGAAAGGGCGGAAGGTGAGGGACAAGGGGGTGGATTAGGGGTGGAGTTTACAACCACGCCAGCATGGGCATTGGAGCCCTGAATACCACTCCACTATGACCTGTTATGACAGGGATCAGGGCTTTATGCTGAGTGGCTTACTGCCACAATCCATAGTTTTAACTGACGGGGCGGACCCTGTTAATGTTGTTTTGGTAAGGTGGGGGGAAAGGGTTGATGGGAAACACAACTGCCCCCAAATGTAGAGCTGAAGGAATATAGTTTAAGTTGTTAACAACTGTCCCATGTCGGAGGAGCTATCTCTGATATTCATGGTATTTTGTGGTCAGGGACAGATGTTGTTACAGTTTATTCATTTTGTTAATCACTGCATGAATGGGTGTATGTGTCCTCCCTTCCACAGGACTGTGAACTGGCCCAGTGTCCCAGCAGCCACCCTGTTCCCCCAGGGACTAAAGTCCCCTCCCACCAGGGCCACAAAACCCAGTGGCGCTTTGGCTCCTGGACCCAGGTTGGTATTCCTATCACATCTTCAATTTGTTTGTCTTTTTGCTGGTTTCCTGCTTCTTAACCTCTCTCCTCTGCACAACAGTGTAGTGCCAGCTGTGGCAAAGGGACACGTATGCGCTACGTGAGTTGCCGTGACAACCAAGGTGGTGTGGCAGAGGAGTCGGCATGCGCCCACCTACCAAAACCCCCTGCCAGAGAAGTGTGCTCAGTGGTGGCCTGCGGACAGTGGAAAGTGCTGGAATGGACAGTGGTAAGAAAACCACCTGTTGTAATGTAAAGTTGCTGCACCTAAATGTATTTAAGTCCATCCAGTGTTGTAGAGGACAGTTTCAAATAAGTACAAATTAGAAAAAAAGTTTTTCCTATTGAATCAGAAAACATTTTCCCTCAAATCTGCATCTTGTTATATGGACAGACTGTTGATTAACTTAAACTGTGTGCTGTCAATATCGCCATCCAGATGTTTTTCTTCCTGCAACGTTTATTTATTTCAGTATACTCTAAATTATTTTTCACCCACACTGACAATTAGTGTTTCCACACGCTATGTAGATGTTTGTGTGAGGAAAGATGTGGAGACAGGGTGGCAGCTGGAAGGCAAGTGTGTATCGAGGCCTGGAGGAGGGCTGGAATAAGGTTACAGAAGGAGAGTGTGTGTGTGAGAGAGAGAGAATTGGAGAGAGGCAAAAGTTGCTGGAGTTGCGAGATGCAAGGGGCTGCAGTGAGGGGCTCCAGTCTTGTTTACAGATGTTTCTCATCAGAGTCCTGATGATACAGTACAGCCAGACTGCAGGTCTGGTCACCATACACACACACACACACACACACACACACACACATACACACATACACCCGCACCACCAAGCCAAAGACACTCATTGACCCCCCCAAAAGGAAATAGTTCATCCCAAGGCCAAAAAAGATTTCAGAGGCCTATCCCAGCACACACACACACACACACACACACACACACACACACACTAGATTTACTGACCCAAAGCAAAATAGCCTTCTTTGTCCTGCAGTGACAGAACCACTCCAAGATGACAGAGTTTTGTTATAGTTCTCAGGACAGGTACAGCCCGCAGTATGTTATCCATCAGCTTCATTTAGTATCACATCATATACATGGAGTTACTGTATGTAAAACAGTATCTAAAGTCATATGAAATCCATAACACTGTGACAGTGCAGTATAAACCTCTGGTCAGTGTAATCCCAGGAGAGGTTTTAGAGTAGGCAGCTGTTGCATAAGTATAATAGATTACCTTGTGCAAGACAGAAAGTGGACTCTGCTAGGGAGGAGCTGAGTGAGACACCATTAGTGCTTGGCAGAAAATCTGCCTTGTGTTACTTTCCTAAAAAGAAAGATATGTGTGCATGGGTCCTTTAAGGAGATACTGTGTTGTGAGCCAGCACCAGAGCAGCGGCTAGGCCTATTTGCTACATGGCACGCTTAACTGGAATTAGAGCTGTGTCTGAATCCTCAGCACCAAGTCAAGCTTGCTTTCAGTTGGTGTTGCACCCTGGCAGGAATGACCCTTGTTGTTTTTAAGGCCCAGCTGAGGAATGGAGGGTTCCCACTTTGGTGGCATGAAGATTTCATCTGTTTGTAGGTGACGTAGCTCTGCTGATTGCCTCTAGTTTTGGCCGTCAGCAGGCTTTGGGATCATGAGTTTACAATTGAGTGTCCGCTGGAAATGGGGGCAACATGTACATATCTGAGACAATATGAAATGGGTCACCAAATTGGGAGTTGTTTGCTGCCCTCCAGTGAGAGGATTCAAGTATGTTAGGGTCTTGAGATCTACAGTTGGATATATGCAGCAGCCACAGTTATTCAGATATTGCTCCATGCTATCATGGGGAAAGGGGAGCTGACTCTGAAAGGGAAACTCTTCCTTTCCCAGATGAGTGTCACCTGTGGTCATAAACCACTTCTTGAAGATCTTTCAGTACCTGGGAAGGATGACAAAAGAAAGAGAAAGGCTTTCTCACCTTTATTTCATCAGCCACACACATCACTTTCTGTGATGGAGATGTTTAGCCACTTGTAGCAGTGTATTCTGCCCATGCATGTGATGGTATTTGGAAGATATTCAAATGCTAATTCAGTCCCTCGGAGAGCAGAATTTATGGAAGAGAAGGCTTGTGATCATGGTAATCATATCATAACCCCATAGTTATTATAATCCATGGTCACCTTTCTATGTCAGTGTTTTCAAACCTCTGTGAAGTGCAGGGTAAAGAGACAGGGCTGATGAATCATTTTCAGCCATTCATATCAATAGCAAGTGGGTTAGCTGCTAACTGCTATCAGCTGATTTTTAAATTTCCCGCACACATAACACATCATCAAAACATCCCACCCATCTCATCTCTCCGGCTGTTGATTCGGCTCTATTACTGCCTCCACTACCAGCTTAAAAGCGAGAAAACGCTGTCCGCCAATTCCACGATTGTACGTTTTATACAGAATGGTGATGCGGAATAACGGCACAACATTCCCACCTTGGACAGGCAGAGTAAAAGGGGCTAATGGCTAATCTTTTCCCACGTCCATGCCTCTCTCCATGTAATAATAACTGTTTCTTCAAATGTGTGTTTGTATGTCTATTTATACTCATGACAGATCTGTGTATCCACTGTGTGTTTGTGTGTGTTTTCAGTGCTCAGTAACCTGTGGCCAGGGGAAGACAACACGGCAGGTACTGTGTGTCAACTTCAGTGACCAAGAAGTGAATGCTAGTGAGTGTGACCCAGACGATCGTCCTACCACAGAGCAGGACTGCGCTATGTCTCAGTGCCCGTCCCGCTCCAGTGACTCCCGACCTTTCCCGTCCTCACCAAATGCCAGCAACAGGAACAACCTGCCCCGCAGCCAATCCCACCAATGGCGGACTGGACCCTGGGGCGCGGTAAGGCATTTTACACACAGCAGCATCACAGCACAGTGGCCAACATGCCATTTCTGTGGATCCTAAAATGTTGTGCTTAATCTTGTTCAACAAGAGCCACAACTTAAATAGTATAATTCTAGAGAAACTTTGGGAAAAATGGGAAACGAGACATGTTCAAATGTTGCCCTATAGTGTCACAAATAGTGAGTCCACACAGGATTAAAGAAAAAGTTCGATACATTGGGAAATATGCTTTTCTACTTCACTTTATTTGCAAGGAGAGTTAATTTAGAAGATAGATACCACTTTTATGTCTGAACAGTAAATACGACACTTTAGCCAATAGCTGGTTAGCGCCAAGCTAGCTATTTCCAGTCTTCATGCTAAGGTAAGCTAACCATCTTCTGGCTGTAGCTTTAAATTTACCATACAGACATGAGAGTGGTTTAGATCTTCACAGAGCTCACATCAAGAAGGTTAAATGTAGTTCATTTTAATGTTTTCACAATACCAGAATTTAACACTTCAACACAATACTAGTAAAAAAAAAAAAAGAACAATACTTGATACCTCTTTTGATACCATGGCATAATACACTGGCCTTGGCTTAAAAAAATCTGATAGTAGATTTGCTTTGGTACTTTTGATATTTTCAAATATATAATTAACAGAGATCATGTAGAGATGCACCAACCGATTGCCATTTTCTTCCTCTCTAAGAGCTATAATTGACAGCATACACAACATTTTTGTAACTTTTCTTTAATGCCTCAAATTACAGGATTGCATAGTTTTAAACACATGGTATCAAAAAATGTAATAAGTGCCCTTACTAAATTTGTCCCTTGTATTGCAGGGACTTGGGGTGGTTTAGGCACTAATGTATATTGTTAAGTCCAGCAATTTGTAAGAAAGTAGAAAGTTTGTGAACTAGTCATTTACTTTCTACGATGTGTTTGGTAGACTGATGCAGACTTTGACAAATGCCCATGAAGTGAGTTTAGGCCCTGCTCTCTTTTTTTAAACAAGGCCTTAGCCATCATGATGTAACATCGCAGGATAGCGTGACCTAAGAGCCAAAGACTGTCTTCCCCATGGATCTTGTTCTTTGTATTGTTCAGCTGTTTTTTTTATTTTTTTTTTTAAAAACTGTGTTAGTGATAATCTCTGTCCAGAAATAACTCTGACCTTTAAATAATTCTGGGAAGTGATTAAAGCTATTTCTGGCGACTCTTCCTGTCTCTGTCCTGAGGATATGTATTTTAATATAGCAGCAGACGTGGTCAGTCATTTGACATTAGATGTCTGTTGTTCTCTGAAAGAATGGGGGCTTTGTGTGCACACAATATACACCTCACAGTGCACGTCGATTTGTGACGTGTACTTTTTGCATTTAACAAACTAGTTTTTTTTATGTACTCATTGACACATGGATTTAATATTTTGCAGCTGGGGGTTTAACTTAAGTATGTGTCTGTACGTCATCATGTCTAAAGGAGATGTAAATAATATACGGTATGTCCCCCTGGGACGTATTTACACCTCAACACTGAGCATCTGTTTGTGAGAACCGTCTTTTTGACACTGTGCTCTCTGCATTCTCTGTACAACAGTGCTCCAGCACATGTGCAGGAGGTTTCCAGCGCCGTGTAGTAGTGTGCCAGGATGAGAATGGCTACCCTGCCAACAGCTGTGAGGATCGCAGCCGGCCCAGTGAGCAGCGATCCTGTGAGTCAGGGCCATGTCCACAGTGGATCTATGGCAACTGGGGAGAGGTAAGACAGACACCATGGCTTTTGTGTCTCCTTGACAGATGCTGGTCTAGCTGAGAGAGAAAACTGTAAACTGTGGGATGCTTATTTGTGTTTGAGTAATTGATGTAGAAGTTGCTTTGTGTGGAGGTTTGAAAATGCATTACAAATCTAAAACACAACCTCTCCTGCTGTCTTCAGTGCACCAAGCCGTGTGGAGGTGGGATCAAGACTAGGCTGGTGGTGTGTCAGCGTCCAAACGGCGAGCGTTTCAATGATCTGAGCTGCGAGATCCATGACAAGCCACCAGATCGTGAGCAGTGCAATACTCAGCCGTGCCCGTCTAGCCCCCACTGGAGCACAGACCCATGGAGCTCGGTACGCTCATAAAAAATACTCTATACCTTGTTTTTCAACCTCACATTTTTTTCACCTGTGGTCTTACTCTTTCACAAACAGTCTTAAAGGGGCTTTGACTTTGGTGCTTTTGCACTGGAGAAATCACACTCCCATTTCTCTACTTTTACTTTTAACCTCCTCCACTTCCTGCTCCCTCTCTGGTGCCTGCGATTGGTCAACGTTTCCTCAAGACATTCGGAAAGTAAATTTCTGTTGTGCTTAAATGGCAAAGACACGCTTGGTTGCAATATGCCAAAAAAAGTACTGTCAAAAAAACTTCAGTGACAGCTGTGACCACAAGAACATTTTTGTCAGTCCTAGTTACCATAAAACTGTTGTTGAGCCTTGTATTAGTATATGAAAAATTCAGGATCACTTTGTATCACAATCAAAGTTAGTTTTGTAAAATATTGTTTTTAAAGATAATTTATTAAGATATTTTTTCCTTTTTATCTTTTGTATATAGCATTAACTTTTAAAAGTGATTTATTTTGTGTCTTAGCTCTTTGTATTCGCACATTTAGCCAATCTTTGTTCATATGCAAATACTGATGAATGTTTTTGTATATCAGGAATATACAGTACGATGCCTTGTTCTTGTATTATCCAAAGAATGGCCCATAATCCAAATATGTGGTGCTACACAATGTAGTCAATGTTCTGTTATGAACTTTAAAAACTTACATAGGACTGTATTTGGGCTGTGTACTATATATATACATCTTTGTACTATATACATCTTTGAAATGGCTATTGTATCAAGAATTCAATTTGTCTCAAGGCACATGTGGTTTTTTAGAGAAGTTACTAATCTTATTTAGACACTTTATTTTACAGTTTATGTATTTACCCTCTGCTATGAAACAAACAGTGGTGTTGCCCTACAATGACATTGACGCATGAATATGTTGACTCAAAAGTTCCTGAAACGTCCAGTATCAGTAGTAAACACCAGCAAACAGCAGCTGTACTAGCACTGTAAAATAAAATGTCTCACTGAGTTTGTGGTAATTAGTACTAATAGCCATTGTATTCCAGTTTGGCAGAGGGTTTTGACCCAGATTCACTTAGTGTGGCCAAAACAATAGGTTTAAAGCTCTCTGCTCCAAAGGTGCTTGATATGAGTGTATTTATATTGTGTTAGTTAATGTTTTCTTTGTACAGTAAGTACTTGGAGTTGCTAAATATGCTATGCTCAACAATACCTCATTTGGAACAAAACGCAACTCAACTAGCCATTAAACTATGATAACTTACACTACAGTGGTGCTTTGGCCAAACAAGGGAGATATAAGATATAGATATCAAAAATGAACCATCACGTTTTTGGTTGGTTAGGTGTTTATTGTGGCACGTTGCTTTTTTTGGTGCTGCCTTTTCTGTACTTTTTGTTTCTTTCCATGAGCAGTTAGTGGATTGATCAGCTAAATGCAAAGTGTATCACAGATTTGACGAAATAATGTTGAATTGTTTTCGAATGTCCATCAAACAACTTGCTCAACCTTTTTAAGAGAATGGGCTGTTAAAATGTCGTACTTTGAACACGTGATACCTGTGACCACAGGGGAAGTTAATAGTGTTTTGTATCCAGAGCTCTTACTCTGAGCCAACCTAATGTGTCTACCTCAGTCTCTGTTATGATTGCCCCCCTGCCGTATCTTTCTCTCCCTTGCACTGGAGGGATTTTGGCTGGCTAAGATTAAGCATGAGTTGTTGAGGCTACCCAGTGCAGCTGATGGTCCTAAACACAGATCCAGGGTGTGTGTGTCATCGCCCCACCTTGTAACACCCACCATCCTGTTGAGGACAGTGAAAACTGATCCAGAATCTGTGGTTAGGGGCAACTTTTGCCTGCAGCCCACCCAGTTGACTCCTCCTGGTCATAAATGTCTGTACTGACATCACACCTTATTTTAAGGGCCTGTTAACACAGCAGCAAGCACATTTTTTACCACACATCATTTACTAATGAGAACTATTGCTTGTAATGACTCCCACATGTGTGATCGTAAGGCAGCGTAAAATCAAATTTAGGTTGAATCAGTGAAAGTAGAACACAGTATCATTAACACGGCACATCCTATTATTCCTCTTTAGTTTCATTCTTCAGTCTTAGCAGTTTGACTCGTCGTGGTCAACCTCTCGGTGCAAACAGCAGTACAGGTCAAACACCATATCAACAGGCTCTTGAAATAAGCATATTGTATGTCTCTTATTCACAAATGGCAGTATTAGTTTGTGTTTCAAGAAGATTTCTGTATATTTATGTAATTACTTGTATTTATTGTTACTTCATTATAATGTTATGTCAATATTTAATTTTTTTATGGATTTGTTGGATTTCTGTTCATTTCCAGAAAAGGTTACGATTAAAGTGAAGTAGAGGTACTATCAAAGGCTTTTTTCATTCTTATGTGAACAGTTTATTTTGATTACTATTAGGATTGTGGCCCAAAGTCAGCACGTTTTTCTAATGGTAAACTAACTTCAAACCAAAACTGAGCAAACCTTGCGCTAAAACCTAAAACCACAGGCAATGGCAATACAATTATTAGCCTCCCTTAACAACAGAGGACAGTCTCAGCTGCCACTCAGTTGACCAGCAGACATCAATGGTGGATGCTTATGTATGACCTGTGCATGGCCCTCGAGGATGGTCACACTCATTCATTCATCCTTTCATTCATTCATTCATTCATTCATTCATTCATTCATTCTTTTGTATCTACAGTTTAAATGTCGTACTTCTAAATGTTCTCAGATTGTGAACCCCTTGTTCCCCTTAAACGTTCTGTACGTGACATTCAGAGCATTAATACAGCAGCTAACCACTATTTGCTATGTAAAGATATTGCGGAGTAATGGTCTCCTGAGCAGCTAGTGACGTCACACTATCTCCGTGTGTATTGTAATCGGAGCTTCTCTTGGGTTTGTTGTCATAAGTAGCGCATGCATGTTAGTGCATGTGTTTAGCCCACTGGCTAGCCCTGTGCTCATATGGCCTTTATCACTATTTGGACAGCGTCATCGTGAAAACGTAGCACCCATCCTCCGGTTCCCCCCCAGTTAACACTCAGTACATTTACATGCACGCAGTAGTTGAGCTAAGCTCATAGATCGGCTAATCAGTGAAGTCGGACTTCTCGTCTTGTCTGAGTATACATGCAGAAGAGAAAATCGGATTTCTGACCAAGTACGTCTGACTCCACCTTGATGGGCGGTGCTGTGTCCTTTTTAATAACATGCATATTGAACTAGTTTCCGGTTCTTGTTCAGACACTTTTTTAAATAAATCCGCGTTTCGCGTTTTCCTACCATCCATAAACTTCAAAATGTTTAGCTCTGGGAGTTACTGCACTGCTGCTACATCATCTCCTTCTTCTTCCGGGTGAAAGCCCACGAAAGGTGCATGTGCAGAACGCTTAGTCCAACTGAAATTGGACTAAGTGGATACACGCAGCAATAGTTTGATTTTCAGTTGGACTAAGCTGTTTACATGCAATTAAAAGTCCAGTTTCAGTCGTACTAAGCCAATAATTCGATGTTCTTAAGCTGCATGTAAATGTACTGAGTGTTAACACGGTCACCACTGTTGCCGTTTATGGACTTAGCACTAATAACTGCTAGCGTCTGCCTCAGCCACCTCTATGGTGAGAACCATGACTAGAGCCCCCTTAACTTCACATCTTCTTCACTTGTACCTACATAAATGTAATGATATATACTGCACTGGTACATGGTACAACATTTACATTGTACATTTTAAAGAATTACACTGTGCGTTGTGGGCTATAATCTAAAGCGTTATACCAAACATTTCACATGCAGTCAGCAGGTCACTGCAAACTGAGGAAAAGGAAAAGAATAACTTGCAGCTCACTGGCAACTTAAATGGACTGTTTGCCCAAAAAGTCAGAAACCAAGATATCTAATGCAAGTACCAACTTCTAACAACACTCATTAAGCCAATAGCCTCACTGCTTGCAACATTGTAGTCCTGCTGCTAAGCCCTATAATGAAGTATTTAACTCAAGATTACCAGCTCCTGCTTTATGGTAATTACAGTGTGTTTCAGGATAAGGAAGTGTCCTATATTATTTAGTGTTTTACCTTTGACTTAGGCTAAAAGACTTAACAAGAGAGGCCTGGCAAATAGCTTATCAAGCAGTCCTCCCCGCCAGTCTATTCAACGGGGGTGTTTTTCTTGAATGAAAACGCACAAATCACTGAGCAATATCCTTGTTATTTTAAGTGGTCAGTGCCTCTGCTGACCTCTTTGAGCTATCGTGCTTTTACCGTCCGTGTCAGGAGTTCAAAGCTCGTCCCGTCAAGGTAAATCTTTGTCCTGTGAGACAATGCCTCAGTATTCCTCCCCATTTCATTTACTGTGTTCATTCACTCTTAATGCCTACCCCGGCTTTTTCTGGGACGCCTGGTGACGCGTGCTCTGCTATGAAGTTGCCAGCGCCCTTTGCCCCTTTCTGTCAGGGCCCCTCTACTCTGGTCTAATGCAAGTTGATGACAGTGGACCAATACGGGGGCCAGTGACAGTGACTCGAATGAGGGGGGCAGTCAGCAAGACAATGCAGTGGTCTATTGGTGGGTCAAGGGTCACGTTTGATCTGGGGAGGGGCCCCTTCCCGGTTCATCCCATCAGCACAGACAGACTTCTGGGAAACTGCTGTGATGCGGGGGGAAAAAACCCAACAAAACAGAGCTGAATAGGATTCTCAAACATTATGCTGACATTGGAAACTGGTTTATTTGGGGGGGGGGGGGGGGGTCATTACCGATGCTTTGTCTGTCTATATTCTTACACCTAAAGCTGTATTATTTGAGTAAAGTGTTTAGTATCTGCAGTTTTATGGATTGTAATCACCCTTTGTGCTGTGTTTAAAATGCAGCTTGTGATTGTTTAGATTCCATATAGCATTGTGGTGAATGGTAAATGCTTTACAGTGCTCATTCACCCATTCATACACACTGATTGAACTGCAATGCAAGGTGCTTGTCTGCTCATCGGGATCAACTTGGTTCAGTTGATACATCACTTTAACATGTGGCAAGGAGGAGCCAGGGATCAAACTACCCACCCTGTGATTAATGTACAATCTGCTCTACCTCCTGTGAATAAAATTGATGCAAATAATAATGTTCATATAGTGTATTTATTGTATGATGAAGTATGAAAGGTTAAGTTCATGTATGTGTGAGCAGTGGTGTTTGTATCGGTGAACTGCTCTGGATAATTACAGAACCCCAGAGGACTTGTGGGCAAACTTAATGAACCCCGCATGAGGTGGTTCATGTACCGATACACATGGTGTTTTAATTTGACCCATTCGCACTGACTCTCAAGGTATTCTGAGGGCATTTCAGCATGTTACAACAGCAGGAAAGCCCTTGTAAAAAAAGTATATAAACCTTTGGAGGAATGGCCCGATGTTTGAAAAGAAAAGCAGCCTGGAGGAGCGTCTTAAAATGCTTTCCTTTAATGACTTGAACCTTTACTGGAAAACCCAGTTTCCCCTGCGATGACCCACTTACTCTCCACAGTTAAAAGAAATGTGTTGCCTTAGAGAGTGTTCATGTCAGGGAATAACATTAAATATACAATCTTATTATTAGAACTTTAAAGGATTTATTACATCAATTATTAAGTTAGTCTTCTACTCTTTGGAAGTGCGGTCCCAAAGACATACAAGCAACACAGTGTCATTTTTATTCACATGTAATCACAACAATATGCACATAAGTTTCACACACTTATTATGATTCATTGTCTTTATTTCTTGGCAAAAAAACAAAACTCAGTCATGATTTTTTCATCTTTATTGATTGCCAACAATAAATCCAGCACATTACATCCCACAATTAAAAGGGGGAATAAGCATTTTATTAGCCCCCTTCCTTTGTGAGCTCTTCCTCCCCCCGAATGAGGTGAGAGGTCACAGCATGTTCCTGTCTAGTACAGTCCCTTGCTGGTCAGGACAGCACCACACGCTGGGCTGCATACTCGTTCAACTCTGAGCCTGTCGCTTCCCATCCATCCCCACATGCAACGCCCCCTTGATTATCAAAGCACAGTTCAGCCCTTCTCCACTCCCTCCTGTAATGTTGCTGTGTGTGTGTGCATGTGTGTGCGTGTGCCTGTCACATCGAGTTAGACTCCCAGTAACTCGATGAACCCGGAGGTGAAACAAAGTGCTGCCGGGTGATCGGGCACACTTCGCCATTGGACCAGCTAACCACGTGGAACTGGGTCTCATAACACTTTTTTTTTTTTTTTTTTTGTAGTGAAGCAACATCCACAAGGTGATCAACGTTAATCTGTTCAACAAACACTCGGCTTGTTTTTAAATAAAGCTGTGCTGACATCTACTTTTTATCATGCGGATTCAATTAAGTCTAACATTTAACAAATGATATGCATTACGAAACCCATCATGTTGTTTGGAAAAAAAATTAGTGTGTACTTGTTTTTTTTAGAGTCACACTTTAAACACAAAACTTACCTTCTGACCCTTTCATATTCTTTCCTTTGACATCTTGCAGTGCTCTGCCTCCTGTGGAAGAGGATTCAAGTCCCGTAAGGTGGGCTGTGTGACCGGGTCAGGCCGCCCCGTCCCAGAGGAAAACTGCCAGCATCTGTCCCCCAAACCCAGGAAGCAAAGGCGCTGCAGAGGTGGACAATGCCCTAAGTGGAAGACTGGCAACTGGGGAGAGGTAGGACTCTTTGACCCTGCTATAAAACACTCCTCCACCACTCTTGTTCTCACGCTGCCAGACATGTAAGCTTTTTCTTTTTTCCCCTCTCTCTCTTTCCACTGTAATGCTTACCAGCTTCCTGGCTACTATGTGCATATGTGTGAAAACATCTGCAGCTAAACCTGACTGTGTTTATACACCATGCCAGGCCACTAACTAAGGCCGGGTGCTTTTACACATCACATGGTGGTTTGCGGCACAGGCCTGGGGCGGCTGCTAACAGGGGATTTGAGGTAGCGTATGACGGGGCTACGACTGCACAGGAGAGGGACATCAGGAGGAACCTGTACCCCCCCTCTTTGATCTAAACTTAAAGGAATACTGCACCCACAAAATAATCAATTGTATATCAGTTACTCCCTGCGAGTTAAGCTGAATTCATAACTTTATTTTTCTTGTATGCCTCCGCGGTGAACAAATAATCCAAAAACAGAAAATTCTTGATGAATTAAAGCACAAGGGGGTCGAATTTACTCATTTACTTACCAAAAACATGCATTTTCACTATAACATTACTATTTTAGAGTAGCACACCTGGGCAAGCATGTTCCTAGGCATGCTACTCATCTGTGTGTGAGAGTGTTTATGCAAATTATGTTTTAAATATTAAGGTTTTAGTTAAAATGTTTAGAAAGTACTGAGCATATGACTGGTTAAATGAGACCTGGATGATACTGTACGAGATGTTGTGATATAGTTTTGGTGCAGTCTCCAATTCATCAAGAATTTTCTCAGTTTTTGGATTCTTCGTTCACTGTTGAGGCAGGCGAGAAAAAGTTTTCAGCGTTCATTGATACACAAAGGATCATTTTGTGAGTCAGACCTTCCTTTAATTGATGTAAAGTCCAGCCAGTGTTAATCTACCCCTCTCATGTCTATATTTTCTCCCCTCTCCGTCCCTTTTATCTGCCCTCTCTCTCTTGCACTTTCCCCCACTCCACTGATCACTTTTTCTTTCAAGCCCTCTTTCTCTCTTTCGCTATTCTCCCTCTGTATCTCCTGCCTCTCTAATGGGAACCACATGCAAGTCTTTTCTTTGAATGTCCTACTAAAGCGGCAATTCACTAACGTCATCATGCCAGACACAATCACAACGTGCACCTGGGCTGTTGCTGCTGCTGAAGAGCCCGTCTGGTGCCTGTTGGCTTTTTCTTTCCCTCCCTTTTACTCTCTAGGTCTCTCTTTTTCTCTCTCGCTCTCTTTTCTCGTGTCCTCTTTCTCTGAATTCACCCCACTGGCCAAGAGTCCAAGCTCAGAGCCACATCTGTGCTCCAGACGTCAGAGAGGATGTACGTTTGCTCTGAACAGTTGTGGAGCGGGACACATGCCAGGAGAAAATGATACTCCACATGAGGCTCTTAGTCAAGTACAGCAGGATTACCCATGATGCAGCAGGCAGAGAGATGAGATGATAACATACAGTGAAATATGTAGAATTGATAAGGTGAATATCAAATATCACAATATTTTTTTAACAAATACCTTGATATCAATATTGCGACAATATTCTAGGGTTGACTATTGGCGCTTTCACTTAAATATACAATGTACAATGAGAAAGGTGGATTTAAGTTCAGAAATTTACACCACTTTACTGTAATACAGCCTTTAAGGTCAGTAAAAAAAAAACAGCACTTACGATATCCAAAATCTAAAACAATATTTAGTCTCATGTCACAGTATTGATATAATATCGATATATTGTCCAGTCCTAGTTGTGTCACATAAGACGGGACATGTGGATGTGTCTGTAGCAGACTGGTGGAACCTCAGCTTGGTCATCTGCATATGTTTATCACTTCTTGCCCCCATAACCTGCAAAAATATAAACAGTTATGATGGTGGTCTCTCACATACACATACACAGAGACTAAAACTTGCATCAGTCAGACTTTTTGTCATAATGTACCCCAAAAATATGTTCACTTCAAAGCATATCTATAATTATATGTTAGCATTACATCAATGTTGATGCAGTACTGGTTGTTTAGAATCATCATCTGTTTGAAAAGAGACCCAAGATAATTAAGTTTTAGGCTAAAATAATAAATGTATGCACTGCTTGTATCGTGATTGTTTGTCAATTGTGTTAACGACTGAACAGAATGAGCAGAAAACAAAACAGCTTCATCATCCCAGGGTGTCTACAGATTTAACTAAGTTAAATTTAAGACTTTTAAAGACATTTTTAATACCAGTTTATATGAAATTTAAGGCCAAACCTGCAATGGAAGCACACATTATATATATGTGTGTGTGCGTGACACACATGTAAGTACTCTTTCCAAGTAAACACACTTATGTCAGTTCAAAATGAGCAGTCAGGAAAAATGACAACAATTGAGTTTAAGTTTAATGTGTAAAAAGAAAACAAAATCTTATCGCTGTCATAAATGCTATTTATTATTGCAATTCTCCTGTCTGTCCAATGATTGTAAACAGTCACTGGGTCTGTCAGGCTGGAGACATTGTCGTGGTAATGTGACCAAAAATATTTAAGACCCATCGAATCTGAATTTAAGACTTTTTAAGGACCTGTAGACACCCTGCATCCCTCTCATTCTGTTTCTGCAGACATGTGCTCTGTATTATAGCAGAGATGACAAGCTTTCATTACAAACATTCCTGCTGTGGCTTTGACACAGCTGCACAAAACCCAGACACTTTCCAGGCTCCAACTTGAATTCCTTGACAGTTCTGTAAAAAAATATATCTATTAGAACATGGAGGTGCTGGTGCAGCCAATTAATCATCACATATTTTCCCAATAGCACTCATTAAAACCCTGAGCGCTGTGTTAAAGTAACAGTTGAAATGCCAATGTCTCAACCTTGGAAAGTAAAGGAAATAAAATTAATAATAACCATAGACATCTATTAAAATCTAATTCAATACTGGCCACACATACTGACAGGATGTCAACATAATTACTTGAGTCAGAAAAAGTTTTAGGTGAAGCAACACAAAGTGACATCCAACACAAATCAATAAAGTAGATTAAATATATGGTGTTAAGTAAATAAATCTGTATGATTCATAAAAAGTTAGCAAACAAATGAGAAATCCCATCAGGTGGTTGAACTCGCCGGACTTGCGTTTATCGCGATAGTCACAATCTCACAGGAATAAAAGCTGATTTGTTTCATATGCAGTGAAACAATAAAGTTAAACAGAGTAACACAGTCTGAATAAACTTTTCAAAGTACTTATCCGTGCCTCTTCCAGTGTTCAGCATCGTGTGGCGACGGCATCCAGCGACGGGAGGTGTTCTGCCAGGTCGGAGCCCGCCGCAGCCCGCAGGAGACCGGCTGCTCCCAGCGCTCCAGACCGGCGTCCAGCCAGAGCTGCCGTGTGGCCGACTGCCCCTCCCGGTACCGGTGGAGAGAAGGAGACTGGCAGACGGTAAGCTGCCTGTGCAGTAAAGCACGGCGACCTGCTGAAACGGGTTGTTGTTACCACTTTGTCTCCAGCGGGCGAGGATGAATTTGCTCTGTCATATCTGAGGTATGAGTCGCTGCTGCAGTCAGAGGAGCTGCTGTCAGGAGGCCAGAGGGGAGGAGAGGAGGAGAGCTGCTGCATGGCCCTTGTGAAAATCAGATGATCGAGCTTTTTTTTTTCCAACACATCCGAAGCCTCGTTGTCAAATGGATTATTCCGTCTTGATGCTGATTGGCTAATGCACTTGTTGGGAAACAGTTGAAAAATCAAGTAAATATGAGTAAAGTAAATCACACCAGTTGTCAGTTCTCACAACATTAACAAGCCTACTACATGTTGCTGCTCAAAAGTTAGATTAAAGGCCTCTAGGAGAACTAGAATTGTCTCAGTTAGCTTTTTATTATGAGCAACATGAACACTGTGTTTTGCCAAAGTTACAACAACTTTGGTTATTTCCTGAGATGTTCGTTTTTCTTTTTATTCTGCGCTCACACTGGTTTAAAGTGGCAGTGTCTCAGTAGAAGATAAGGGTGCTTTCACACCTGCCCTGTTTGGTTCAATTCATTTGAACTCAAGTTCGTTTGCCCCCTAAGTGCGGTTCATTTGGGCAGGTGTGAATACAGTAATCACTTGGATGTACACCAAAAAAACCCAACCGAGACCTTCTTGAAGAGGTGGTCTCGGTCCGGTTACAAACAAACTCTGGTGCAGTTTGTTTGTGGTGAGAACGTGTTCCGACCTCGATCTGAACCAAGTGCAGTCACATGACACATTGTTTGGGTTAAACATGAGCATGTTACAGTCCTGGAGGATTATTAATGTGCACCTCCTCCTGTATTGCCTTAATATGCACATTCAGCACATCCAATGCATCAAAACATTGTTTTCTAGTTGGAGCCGCGCCTCGTTTTCAAACTGTATGGTTTGACTAAAATGAACAGTGACAGCAATATTGTCCATGATGAGCAGCACTAAAATCAACCTGCGTAGTTGTCCCTCCATTGTGACATTAGAAAGTGTCACATTTATCTTGCAAGTGTACTCTTCTTCAACGTTTTGTTTACTTCCTGGATTTTTCCCGCATGGAAATTCTGACCAATCAAGAGCAGCTTTCTCAAACAAGGAATTTAATCTGGTCAGATTGTAAATGCTGCCGTGAGAACACGAACCAACTCTAGGCAATTATGCAACTTTGTAACAAAATTAGTTCCCGATTCAGACCAAAGCAAGACAACTCTAGGTCTGAAAGCACCCTAAGAGATGTGGCATACAGCTGTGCACCAATGAGGATTTAGCAATATCTGATCAAAACATGATGGCAGTTTTGGGGCTGTTTGCTTTTGTTTTCCGACCACTGTTGATTAGATTTCATCAAACCATACTCCAGCAGCCCTTGTGAAGCAGCTTAGCTGAGTTTTTGACTTTACAGATCGAGTGTGTTGGATTTAGGGAGATACATATATATATATATATATATATATATATATATAGTCAGAAAGTGAATAAAATGTTAATAATTATGTCTCTAGAAGTATTATTTTGTTTTTGTTAACTTAGAATGAGATGCTTTTATCTACTTACGGAGTGGGTCCTCTTACACAGAGTCCGCTATGTTGTTTTTCAGTAGCCCAGAATGGACGAGCCATGCTCTAGATAGGGCCATTTGGGTGTTTCACATCAGCCATCGTAGTTCTCCTAAATGCTTGGCACACAGGGGAACTTTCAGTTGGTTGCAATCTACAACCCCACCACTAGATGCCACTAAATCCCTCACTCTAGACCTTTAAACTCTTATTAATACCTTAATGTTTTTGCTGCTAACATTTTTTGCTTATTTAGTCAAGAATTAGTTTTTTATTATTGAGAAATTGATTTGAAACCACATCTACAGAGACATGAAAACACAAAAAATACTTTTTTCACATCATAATCGAATATGAGTAAAAGTCTTTTATCTGCTCTGATTCAGTGAACAGTCAGAGCTGAAAAGTCTTGCTGCTTGATATAAGTTTGCAGTCTTACCCAGACTATATTTAATGGGTCCGTTCCCACTGAGTAACATTCAGCTAGTATCTATAGGTTAGAGGCTACAGAGCCTTGTAGAGAGATGGAGTTATTAGAACAGGCAGCTGCAGCAGGAGTTTCTTCTTCACTATGTTCAAATGATGTTGAATCTGGGTCACTGAGCAGCATGAAATGTCTTCTCTGAAAGGAGAGTCTAATTAGTTCAGAGAAGTGTTTGGAGCTCCCCGTCTGGGTGTCCCAATTAACAGCTGGAGGTAATTGCAACAGTTCACCTGGCATGGGTTAACGCGCCTATGTGTTTTAAATACGTTATACACCGTGGAGTCAATCTTCACATATCAGAGATGAGGTCTTAAACCAACATTTTACTTCTTTGCACACGTAGCTTCTCTCTATGGGCCTAACCTTGCTAGAATTGAAGAGTTTTACTTATTTCTCTGTCTACTGTCGATATTATCAAGCATACTGAAACTCAGAGACCCCTGGACCTCTCATGCAGGTTAGTCTCATTCCTGCACAGTACAGAAGAACAGCTCACAATTACAGTTCCAGGCATTTCAGTTGTTTGACAGTGTTGAACGTATTAAGAGTGATGAAGACCAGCTGGGGTTGGCTGCATTTGTAACAGCACAGTGTTTCTGACGCAAGTGGAAGACTCTCTGAGCCCTTGCTAGAATGTTATGTGCTTAACTTGCCTCTCTTGCAGATTGAATGTCGTAATGGTTGAGTTACTACATGGACCTGGATGCAGTAAGGCACGTCCAGGTGGTTCTGTGGGTTTGAACCTTGCAGTCAAGTACACGTCATCTAAGGACACCACTTTTACTATTAAAAATAGGTTTCATCGCCCTCTTGCTGAGATTTGGATGAACAGATCTCATGTCTGTACGTTAAATATGAAGCTTAAAGAGACACTTCTCCCCCAGAATCAAAAATACATCTTTCCCCTCTCACCTATAGTGTTGTTTATCAGTCTAGATTGTTTTGGTGTAGGTATATAGGTATGAAATAACAAACCCACTCTTAAATCTTTTTGGCCTTTGCTGTCTCGAGGGAATTTCTCTATCCCTGCAGAAGACTATTCTCTATAGTTTGTTGCCTTAAAGTGACACTTACCTTTTTGTAAATTTTACGCTTTTCTTTGTTTAGGTTACAATGCTATTAATAAGCTGCTGGCACACTAAAATGTAAGTGAATTCCACCAGAGATAAAAACTCATAATTGTACCATTCTCATATGGTTCTAAGAAAACTCTGACCAATCAGCCGAGCGTCCTGTCTGTCTTCCCCACGTGGAGGCCTCCGACTGACGTAACCGCTCACATTTAAAACTCCTGGGTTGCGTTTGACTGTCTTGGTTGTAATGTTACGCTTACTCTCCTCTTCCGTGTATCTAACGTTACCTTGCCAACGTCTACGTCTATGATAGACGTAATGAGGACGTAATGGAGTAGGGGGAAGTAGGCCTTTGGAGGGAGGTGGAGTTGCAGGAGGAGGATGGGACTTTGGAGGGAGGTGGGAGTTGTGGATGTTCAAATTTTTGTGCTGTGTGAAATGCAAGAAAGGTAATAGTTGCTTTAATGCAGCCTGAGTTACCTGAATGAACTGTAATCCAGTGAGTGTTAATTTTCATCGTCTGTACATCTTTTGCACAGATTAGGTTACATAATGAATTACTCATATTGGCTTTTCATGGGGAGTGCAGTGGTTGTCTGTTACGCACCACTGTGTATCTCTTCTCCACTCACAGTGAAACCCCATGCACCATAAATGTAAGATACTCTCACTCAAAGCTAAAATGAAACGAGTGGTCATAATTTTGGTAGAAAACATAAACAGTCTCATACTGAGTATGTGCTGTCATTTATGGCGTGTGGTGTTTCGCTGCGGTTGGGGCTCAGACCCTGCTCTTACACACACAAGGGAGCAGGACAGTCAGAGACAGCTGCACTCTTTGCGTCGCTGTATGAAAGCTTCACAAGTAAAAACAGCCATGTGATATCTGATATGAAACAAAGGATCAGCTCTTCTAAATAACTCAATATAGCTGATCCTGATCATTAAAAGAATGCCTTGAGCGGCCCCAATCCCGATCTTTGAGATCAGATTGGACATCCCTATCAAAAGGTTGAACTATATCTTTAAATCCCCCCTTTCTGTATCCTCTGGGTGGCTCATAAGAACACAGGAACCCTCCTCTCCTGATTGAGAAAACAATAGATCAGCACTCTCATGGTTCCCTTTTCCAGCTGTTTTCCTTTCTTACCTAGAAATGTGCAGTGGCAAAAAAGGTGACACCAGAGAAAACCAACATTTACAACCCATCCAATTTGGGTTGGCACCATATCTGTAAAGGGTCAGTGTTGGTATGAAAGGGTGAACACATAATTCTGTAATTTCTAATGGATTACTATAACCATAATGGGTACTGATGTCTACTTTCAGGCTTCTCATCATGTTCTCTGTTCTTGGTAGTCACAGAGATATTATTCAATGGCATATGTTGTTGCATATCTTTCCACAAGCAGCTCTGTTTAGAAAATCCACAGTATTTATATTTGGTCTGGTCTAATTCATGGTTTAACAGTGATGTGAGAGACTGATATACATGAGTCAAACACAGGTGTGATGTACGAGTTTTATCTATAAAACACTGAGATGGTGGGTGTCTGCCACTAAGAAAACAGTTCAATAATTTGTCAAAAGCATCGACCGTGTTGTGATATTCTTGTCTTTTGGGGGACAGTGTGCAGTCGCTTACTGCTAGTGAATTTCAGCTCTGACCTTTCATCGGACACATTGTTGGCATGGACTGTGAACTGTTTCAAGAGTTACAAGTTGTTAAATCTCATCTCAGGATTTGGCCATGTCCTCAGCTCAGGTTCATCTGCTCAACACTCTGTGCTTTCCTCCCTGCTCTTATCTACTGTTTTGACATCTTCACGCTGCAGTCCCATGTAGTGAAGGTAACACTTCACAAGGAGACACAAATCACAGACTGGCGATCCGTTACACTGAGAATTTTGATAATCCATACCTTAAAAACCTTGTAGTTGCACATGGAGCTTCCTGTTTGCAGCTGGACAGATGTGTATTCATAATTAGGTCCCCTTTAATCAAAAGAAAATATAACTTTTATAGCATCAGTTGCAATACATCTATTTAGGAATGTCGTAGTGTTTCTCCTCATACATGCTTTGCCATCTTTGTAAAAGTCCACTGTCTGTCTTGTCTCCACTACAGTGCAGTAAATCATGTGGAACAGGCCACCGACGACGAGCCTTGCAGTGCGTGGACCACAACCAGCAGGAGGTCCACGAGATGTACTGTGTGAACCAGATCAGACCTCCAGACATAGAGAGCTGTAACACCCATGCTTGTGAATTGATCTGGATCACAGGAGAATGGACTGAGGTGAGAGCCAGAGAAGCTGTGTGCCATTTAAGTGATGTAGTCCCACTAAAGTCTTCAGCATCTTAATTGTAAAAAGTCAGTTTGATCCAAATAGGCAAAACTTTACTCTTCCAAAAAGCTATTCATGCGAATCATCATCTTCAGATCCAGTGATGCGGAAATGACAGAAATCAGCCATGTTTCCTGTGTGGAATACTGTTGTTATTTCATGCCGGTGATTTATTCTCTCCTCCAGTGCTCAGCCAGCTGTGGTCAGGGCTACCGCCAGCGTCTGATCTCCTGCAGCGAGGTGCATGTGGAGAATGACAACTATGAGTACGGCCATCAGTCTTTGTCCAACTGCCCGGGGACCCCCCCTGAGAGCTACATGCCTTGTAATTTGGACCCGTGCCCGCAGCCACAGGAGTGGAGGGTTGGAATCTGGGGACCGGTGAGCGAGTCTATGTTTCTAAATGTTGTCCAGGCATTCATCAGTATTTTGTCTGAGGGCACATGCATGTTTTTAGTGTTGGTGTCCTGAAATCTAACCATGAGATCTCGCAATCTTTTTGGGGTTTTTTTATTCAAGAGGTTTCACGGTTTTCTTTAACATAAATAACTTGCACATTGTACATTACACTTTTTGAAGTGGCCACTCCGAAAGATGAAAACAGCAGACATGACTGCCATCCACAAGTTTTATTTTCACACAGTCATGGTTCTCTTCCTCCCCTCCAGTGTTCAGCGAGCTGTGGTGATGGTGTGATGGAGAGGACAGTGCAGTGTGTGTCAGCAGATGGTCAGGAAACCAATAGGTGTTCTCAAGGTGCCATGCCAGAGGCCAGGAAAGTTTGCAGAAATCCAAGCTGTGAGTCCTGCGAGAAAACTGCCGCTCTTTTAACAAAGGTCGACCGGGGTTAAGCACAGGCCAACTGAATGCATCTCGAATTCCACTATTAGGTATGGCTTAAAATTGAGGCGGTCATCTCAGAGATTCGGCCTTTAGTGAAATATTTATGATCCGAGGCTAACATCAAAGATTCACTGTCCAGTGTATTTGCCCTCCTACTGTAGGATGGGACATCAAAGAGTGAGTGGCTTTTCGTTTTCTTTGATTTGACGCAGCGATTTGCCACACTTGACTTAACTCCTGAAATTTGTGTTTGCATGCGTGCACGTGTGTGTATAAAGCCCGAGTGCCTGTCCTGTGTTAAATCTGTCCACAATACACCACTGTATACTTACTTATTTATACTTTTTTTTGTGCCTCCAAGGCCATCTGCCCTCTAGCTGTCAAGACGTCCAGAGCACAAACGGCCCCCTCCCAGACGGCGAACACCTTCTCAATATTCAAGGAAGAGGTCTCAAAGTAAGATTATATGTTCTTGTTAAGCACACTGTTTATGAAGTCATAACAGGTTGTATTTATGAACATAGAGGGGCAGCTGTCATTTCAGATGACTGAGACACTGGCAGAGCATTTTGTGTCTGTGTTGTGACTGTGTGACTTCCTGCATAACAGTGCAAAGTGCTTAAAATTCATCTCTACTAGCTTGTGTTTAGGTAATGTTTGGTACTGCTGCTTGTACAAGGTTGCAGAAAGATGCAGCATGTTTCATAAGAGTCAGAGGAAATTCTTTGACTGCCTTCAAAATGACTTTTAAGGACCAGTCAGCTCAGGTCAGCTGGAGGGATTGTCTGCACTGTGCTCCTGTATTTGCTGGGGCTTGTAACTGCAGTTGTAACATTTTCTATTTAACTCCTTCTCCTCACCTCTTCACACCATTACTGTTCCTCACTTCCCTATCTGCACTTTATCCTTTACTTTCCTACTGTATTTTTTTCCTCTACCACCTCCATCTCTTTGTTTACCCTTGGTTTCCTACTCCTCCTCTCTGGATACCACCTCTCCTTTTCCTCCTCCTCCTCCTCCGCCTTTTTCTCCTCAGGTCTACTGTGCAGGAATGCAGACAGAGACTCCACAGGAGTACATCACCTTGACGACCGGAGAAGGGGAGAATTTTTCGGAGATCTTTGGCTTCAGGTAAACAGCTAACAGGATAACATTGAGAATAGCCTGTATCATTACAAAATCCAGCTGACTCCTGGCAGTGTTTCTTGTCCGTAAATGAAGAAATTCCATGGAAGTGTAAAACTGAGCTGAGGTATTTTGTGTTTGTGTGTGTTTCCCAGACTCAATGACCCCACCCAGTGTCCAGCAAACGACTCCAGAAGAGAGGATTGCGACTGTCGGAGAGACTACACCGCCGCCGGCATCAGCACCTTCTCCAAAGTCCGCCTGGACCTCGGCAAGATGAACATCATCAGTGAGTGGCTCAGATGGCACACACAAACACAAACACAAACACATACAAGAGCATCCTGTGCCAGTGTTAACTCTACATTACTCTCAAATAAGAACTCCCTTTGCCATTTAATTATGTCCGTGCTCACGAGGGTTAATGGGCTCAAGATGTTTTCAAGGTTCATTTAAGCAACACACAATTACAAGGCTTGGGGGGATTAAACAGAACTGCTCTAAGTAGATGAAATTATACTGATATTGCCATTAGGCTGACCCTAAAACTAAGGCTAGATTTAGACCGGTTAAATAACACAAGTCATTATGGCAGAATGTAAGCTATCATTATGAAAGTTCATCTGAGGTCCTGTAGCAGCAAATTCTAGGAAACAGACTTCCAGGAATATTTGTCAGATTTTACATGATTAGCTCATTGGCTCATGTTGTTACTCAGCTACAGACTGGCAGTTTGCTGTCACCCGAGAAGGCAAGAGTGTTCCATTCGCTACAGCTGGAGACTGCTACAGTGCCGCACGCTGTCCACAGGTGAGAACAACAACAGCAGCTGGTAATTATACCACAGGGAGGGAAATTCCTTTTTACAGCAGACTGTAGAATTATCATCGCAGGAAAAGCACAAGTTTAACTAATAACATTAATGATGGCTCAGTTCTTTTAAAGGGAAAATTCACCACCATTTATTAAGATGTCAAGCTAGTGTTGATGGTAAATCTTGTCAATTGAAGCAGCAAATTCCTCAGTGCTTGCTATCTACAGATCCCCCTTTCACACCAACATGGAGCATTTCATCAGGAAAAAGAGCATGTGGTGGTCTCACTAATAGTTGGTCCATGCTTGTTTTTTAAAAAAACAATAACAGGACAAAGCTAGCAGGTAATCGGTGTGATCTGTCATCTTGCTGCTACTGTTTACCTCTGTTGTGCATTGTGCAATGAGCTCAGTTGATTATGATGGTTCATGGTGATTGAAACTGGAGGAAACGTTGACTGGTTCACTAGATAGCACCAAGGATCGAAGAGTCCTGAATGGAACCAGTTCAAGAACCAGAGCTCATTTGGTTGAAAAGGGGTAAGAGGAAGTGGAGTGCTCCTGCTGGCGTAGCCGTGCCCTCAGTACCTACATGCACCAGGATGCACTGTGCACATATACTAGCCTATAGCTATTATTTTGTTTCCCAAAACATAGCGTAGCCAAGGTTTATAAGTTCTTCCTAGAACTCTGCAGGTAACAAAATAAAATCTGGAGGTTCTGTAGTTTGAACCAGAACAGCAACAATCTTGATTATTTTTCTCATTTTCCACAAAAGCGCATTACCGCCTCAATTTTTACCTTTCACAGTAAAAGCCCAACTTAAATTACTCAGCATTTTGCTAATAAGCAATACAGCAAAATAGCTTACAATAGCATTTTATGGTGAAAATACTTGATGGCCATCTGCCCACTTGGTTCTGCTAGTCTTGGTTGTCTTTTTCTGTTTTGTCTTTAGGAAGGTCTCCGACACAACTCTGTCCAAGTGAAGAGCAAAACATTCATTCATAGTAAAGCACACACGGGCTCTGTCAGGACTGCTATCAGTAATGGCCTTCAAAAACTGCCCGCACTAAAATTCATTTCAGCAGACTGATTCAGTTTCTGATGGCATCGCAGGGCAATTTGAGCAAAGGCACCTCCAATCAGAGTTTGTTCTCGGCAGCTCAGGTTCTAGAGGGTCTCCGCCTACCATATCCTGCAGCAGTTTAGCAGCAACTTAGTCTGGGGCTGTTAGTGGTCGTTTTGGTAAGGAAACGGAACCAGGGCGAGTGAGACAGGATCCGGAATTCGATGGATGTGCCTTTCCATAAAAATAAAAGCACCAAGCTAATAAAAATGCGGTGAAACTTTTAATTTAAAGAATATAATTTACCAGAAAAGCCCCAAGCCATTAAGTTAATCAATTTTCTTACACTCCTCATCACCCCAAATCGATGGTGCGCCAGAATTTAAAGGTTTACTATGGTGAACACTTTTAGTTTGGTGAATTTGGTGAATACCGCATCCGCTCCCTAGACCGGAACCAGAATCCAGACAAAATTGTGAATAGATTGTGAGTGAATAGACACCAGGCTCTTCGCTTGAAGAGCCTGGTGACGCGAGGCTAGCAGCAACTGCAGTTTCGGCTTCTCTTTGCTGTATTTCTTTGCTGAACACTCTGGCTCAAATAAATATGGCTAAATATCTGAGTCAGCCAAAAAGCTTCAAATGTATCCTCGTTCATAACATCCCCTGTCCTCATACCGTGGGATGCTATTTTTACTGTTGGAAACATGGCTAATTTGCAATACAAGCAAAGACAACAAGGAAGTTGTGTATTTAGACCATGCCCCCTGGCTACCTGGAGGCTAAATCCAACCTGTAGTTCTTCCTTCTTTCAACTATGACACTGTCACATCAAATGGCGACACTGCATGCAGGAAGAGCAACAGGTTTTGCAGCTGCAAACCCAACTGTCTCGTTCAATATAGCACGCACTGAGGATTTTATTGCTTCATTGCTACATTTACTATCAACACTGATTAGCTTTCACATTAAAGGTGAGGATTTTTTAAAGTGTCCTAGTGAGCCATTCCAATAAGCCAGAATAAACATGCATAAATGCTTTGCAGCCACTATCAGTGCTATTGACCTCCTGCTACAGAGTGGCATGTAAAGTGTGCTTTCCATGGGATGTGTTATTCATGTTCTGCCTTTTTCTCTTTTTTCCAGGGGCGGTTCAGGATCAATCTCTCAGGAACAGGTTTTAAGGTGGCTGAGGACACCTCGTGGATCTCCCAAGGCAACTATGCAGTGGCTAATATACGAAAATCACAGGTACTGGCAATATGTCCCATACGTACATGCCCATGTTATGGAAAAACTCCCAAAATTAGAGCAAACTTCAACTAAACAGTGTATTATCAGTAAGGTCCTGGGCACCTGGCTTGTTAAAATAGTTGAAGTGTATTCTGTAACTTTATATCATTCATTATTGCTCATTGTCCTCTGGCAACTCTTTAGAGCATACATTTACCTACCTATCTTTAATTCTTTATTTTACTGCCTCATCTTCTCTATTCCTTTCTGTTACCTCCTTTACTCCTTCCCTCCCTCCACTATTTATCCTCTCTGCATGTCCTCTTGGCTTCAGAGCTCTAAGTGGGCATAGTCCCAAGTGTGTTCTGTATTCCCATCTCCACTTCTCCCTATGAACTCACTGAGAAAGGACCCTTATTGGGCAGCTGCTCTCTCTCAAGTGCCCCTAAACCCTCCTCTTTTGAAATGGAGCTCAAGCTGGAAAGTGCATTTTGGTAAGGCAAAAACAGGAGGCAGTTGTGATGCCAGAAAGTGTTCACAGCCTGATTTCCATAGCCAGCATGCCGCTGTGGGCACTCGAGGCAGTTTAAATAAAGCCAGGTTGTGACAGTGGGACGGGGAGAGCACTCCAGAGGAGATCAGACAAACCACTCGCTGCACGCTTAGGCTTTCATGTCGTGGGATAGTGCTTTCGGTGTACTCAACTGATGCAATTTCCTTTTTGTTGCTGAATGTTTGGACGAAACCGTTCATTATGCTGCATGTGATTACCCAATTCATACCTGGTGACAAACATGCCTGGTGGGCCTCGGTCTTTGTGTGCCTTATGAAAAAGAAAAGCTAATTTAAGAGTTACCACAACAACCCTCCCACAAATACCTTTAAAAATGATGTTTTTTTTTTTTCTTAACAGATCCCTCAAACTAACATCTGTTTTACACTGACAGTGATCAGTCACAGGGGGAAAAGTTTCTTCAACATAGGACAGAGAATTTTAAACAAGCTTTTTATTATTTAGCATCTCTCTGACTGTTCTACAAACTGTATTTATGTTCCCTTAAATGTATAATATACAGGAATTGTCAGTAAGTGTTTTCTAACAGTACTGCCAGTGAAAGAAAACGTGAGAGCCAGCCTCAGATTCACTCTTGTTTTGGATCACAATCACATACCAACTTTAACAAATGATGTTATGCCTTTTGTGTCCACAGGATGGCAGCAGAGTGTCAGGAATATGTGGAGGCTACTGCGGGAAATGTACGCCGTCCTCTGGCTCCAGTCTGCCTGTGATAGTGGAGTAGATCTAATACCATCAAACAGGTGCGAGATGCATTTTGAATATTACAACAATACTTTTTAATCAAAAAAGGGACAGAGGAATAAATTGGGCTTATTTTTTTCAATCAGTGACACCAGTCATGTGTATATAAAGTGTGTCATGCTGCAAAAATATACCACAGCATTTCTGTTCACTACACATTTCTCCTTTGTCCGATCATTATGCAGGTTTATGAGGTGTTAATGAGTAAGTGACTGAGCGTTAATGATGTTTACATGTCTTTTTTTAGCATCTATGTCCATTCATCTCGGCAGTCCTCTTCAGATCCTCATTGTGTCAACACGTCCCTCCTCTTTGGTGCTACAGCCAATTCAGAGCTCAAACTCACTCTGACCTCTCTCACTCCCATGTGTGTATAGTGTAAATGAATGTGGTGTAAGTACTGTACATAGCAGGATAAAAAATGTCTTATTTATTGTACTCTCCATTTATTTTTGTATTGTAATATAATTTAACAGTTTTGTTGTCTATAGCGAACACCACACAGTTACACACAGTTTATCAGAGTTTTGCCAGAATGTGCCTTCCAATTTGGACATTTGCCATTTGGAGCTTTTCGTACTGTTGTTAAATCACACTGCATGTGTTACAGCCATATGTTCATTTTTAGACCAGTTCATTATGTTGGGTTTATTCCAGTTATGTTATTGTTGTGATGGTCACCAGACCTGTTCATATTCAGGGAGGTGTCAGTCAGTGGGCTATTTTTTTTAATCACATCACGGGCAAGAGTAGCGGACACATACACAGATGCCCAATATAACTATAGTCCTATTTTATAGTGTGCCAACAAGCAGCTCCTTTAGAAGACTTTCTTGGTTTAGTGAAGTGAGAGTTTAGTGATATTCCCAGTCAGATGGCACCAGTGAGTCCACTTCTAAGTTGTAGGTAACTGTTGCTGTAAATTCAGTCCAGCTACTTCCTGGGCTGCTCTACTCTGTGACAGTCTACAACTTTCAGTGCTTTGCTCAACAGCTTCTCAGCAATTTTGAGGTGTTGTATTTGTAGCCAATTATATCCAAAAGTGTGGACTAGCTGGATTGTGGTCAGGCTGCTCTACCTGCATCTCTCCAGCTGTCAACTGCAGCTGTATGTCTTCCTCCAGCTGGACAGGAGAGAGGAAAGTGCGATAAATAATAACACACGGCAGGAAAAAGCCAGAGGCCTGTACTACAAAGCAGGATTTGGGGTTAATCAGGTAACGTCAGACTCAAACCTAAGACTTTCTATTTTTACTCGGGTTTTAAAACAGCATCTGAAAAGAAGGAGAGATCATGTAAAACACTAAACACATAATAATGATTCTAGCTTCATTTTAATTGTGCAAAGTTTACTTTATCCCCGCAGTGATAGCTGACAGTGTGGCTCATTTTACACCGATTCCATCACAGCAGCTCAGAATAACACGAGACACCTGTGTGATGAGAACAGGAAATAAAAACATAAAGACTGTCTCTTTATTAGAAAATTAATCCACACACTGTTAATTGGCTCCAGTGGTTACACAAGTGACATCAGTAATTAACTACCTTCCCACTCTTTACGTCAGCAGCAGAGACAGTCTTTTGTTTTGACATTATTAGAGTAGTTCTTTTATCATCCAGATATTTTAAGAGTTTGCCTAGTTCGAATATTTGGAAATTCTTTCCAGTGTTTCTACATTTTCTCAGTCTTAAAATTAGAGGCTATCATTTACTCTGATGAATATTACTTTTTGCTGTCCATATAATATGAAGTATTTCATCCATGGTTCTGATGATGTAGCTCGTAATGAATTTTGGTAAAAACGAGATATATGTATTAGGGTTATAAAGCCAGATAAGGAAAAGATATCTGAGGTATGTTGAGCTTGATTTCTAGTAATGGCCTCTGGTGTTGCTGCCACGACAAACACACCTGCATTTGGAAGATACACCCATATTGAGACTGTAATTTGAAGTAGTTTTACTGAATGTCAAAAGACACTCTGGGGATAAAGTCAATTCAGTGTCTTTTAGTTTTGTACCAAATATAAGGTAAAACAGTGAGCACTCTATTTTTCAGTAAGCCTGAATATCTGAACTGTCTATGATACATACATCAGCATCAGAATCATTCTCAGTATGTTTCAATTTCAGAAAAGATCCATTCATGCTTCTTGCTGAGTTGTAGCGATCACAGCTGCGTCCTCTCTGCAGTAGGAGGACAGTGGGTATTAGAGAGCAACTGTGAGGCAGTTGAAGGGAATGATGTTAATGTATGTTCCCAGAATGAAGTGTGCTAATGCCGACAAAGAGTTGGCATGGAGGTGGGATTTACAGGCCAGACGTAGGGAGGAAGTGAGACGTTTACCCATGCACAAACACACTGTACACACACACAAACACACTGGAACACATTACTGGGTCACAAGGAGGAGGCTGTAGTGTAGGTTACACGAACTGTAGAGATTACGCTGCCAGACATCAGAGAGAACCGAATTCCTTTGTGTTGTTGCGTATCTCTCAGGTAGCGTGCAGTGACCAGGGAGAGCCATTAGCCTTTAGCTTTTACAGAACAGACAGGTTAGCTTATCTGGAGCAACTTGAAAGAAAGACTTCACCTCAGGCCAACAGAATTCCAGTAGACACTCCGGAGATATGATGCACTGGTTCGGCCCTGGAGACACCTCTAAAACTGCTGAGCCCACAGGCCCCGCAGCGTGATTTCTGTCCAGATGCTGCCTGTAAACTTTGCCTTCTGTACCTCACATTCTTCCCTCCATCTTTGTGGTTTTTTTTTTTGGTTTTTTTTTTTTTATGAGTCTATCCAAACTGTACATACCGATATGCTCCTGTGTGGAGCATTCTGACATGTTGTTTTTGTGACAATATCAGGGTACTTTTTGTGTATATGTATGTTTTTGCATTTCTTTTGCAGGTTTACACAGTTTTTATGAGCATTTTTTTCTGTTTCAGAAACATTGAAAGACACAGGAAGAATTCAGACATTATTTAAAGGAACAGTGTGTAAGATCTAGGGGGATTTAGTGACATCTACTGGCAAAGATTGCCAATTGCAATCAGCTGAATCTTGTCCCAATTAGAATTCTTTTAATGTCTGTTGTTCAGGAGGTTTTTAGAGTGAGTCGAATTATCTGCAGAGGTCTGCTCCTCTCCAAAACAATGTGATTGAAACTGATAAAAAACACTGAATAAAGCAGTTTCACATTACAAATCAGTGTTTCTCAGACACTGTTTGGCATGGCGGAGATGGCCGCTAGCCCAGCACCTGCTAATGTGTGCTCACCTTTTTGTCTCTGCCAACTTAAGATCCAGACGTTCATGAGGTTTTTACCAGGAGCCAAATTGTCTTCAAAGGTCTCTTCCTCTCCAAATCAGATGTATCTGGTGATTTAAACCAGTAGAAACACAGAATAAAGCAGTTTCACAGGGGCTGCAAACTACGGGGAAACCTGAATGGCCCTGTCTGGAGCTAGTATTTGGTTTGTCTGCTTTTGGATACTGTAGAACATGGTGGTGCAACGTAGCAGACTCCATGGACGAAAACCCGCTCCGTATGTATATATAAATGGCTCATAAGGTAACAAAAACACAACTATTTCTATTTTCAAGTGATTTATACACCAACACACTTAGTGTATTATATTCCATTTCTGCCAATGTGTCCCCCTAAATCCTACACGCTGGACCTTTAAGCCTTAACTGTGTATAGGGTAGATGTGCAGGGTGCATACTGTATGTACAACTGTTTAAGAAGCCATATTTGCTTTTCTAAGCCTTTCTGTATATGGTGCTATTTCTCAGCCTCATTGTATGTGATAATGTGCACACTTCAGTCAAAGGGAATTTCACAGTCTTAATCTGCCTCCATACCAGTATGAAATTATTTCTAAGGACACGGGGAAGTAAACATTTTGTGTCTTACTGACAGTTGCAACTGATAAAGGCACTTCTCATTGTGAATGTCAGAAGTTAATCAATAGAGTTCTCAGGTGTCATAAATGAAGGGATTATTATGATATTTAAGTGTATTTATCTTATTTTACACATTTGCCACATGTTTATCAGGTAACTGAAAAATGTATTATTAAAGTTTAACAAAGTGTCATTATATTATGCTTTATTTTATATGCAAATATTTATTTTATCTTTTCTTTGTGTGAATGTACATAGGCTTTGACCATAAATGACGATAAATTACCATTCATTATGGCCATAAAATGAACCGTCTGGCAACACATTTCTTGTTTTGTGTATACGTTTATTTATATGTGTGTGTCATATCTGCGTACACTGTATAAGCAGAGTTTGGTGCTGCCATATGAAAAGCATGATTTATGTATGAGATCAGATAAGCAATGATCAGAAGGAAATAAAATGCCTGATGCATGCCATGCTTGCCCGTCTGCTTTTCACACTAATATATCAGTTTTACAGTTTGTCCTTGATGTACCATCCAGCTACAACACCGGCTGTAAAAATCCCAAACACACAAAAGTTAGATTAATGCTCGGATCATAAAATTCTCGCTGCATAGTGCTTCTGCTTAATTATGATTACACACCTTCCTCCATCATAACAGTCTGGCTTGTAACCTGACAGATGTGTTTTATGGATCTAATCTAAGCTCTGTCTGTATGCATAACAGTGAATTATCAGGCTATCCAGCAGGTGTCAAAACTGTTCTTCTTAAATAAATATAATTCACTGCTGAGCAGATTTCAGAAGACAAAGGAGCAGACGGGGAATGACCTTTATCAAAGCCAAATTTTTCAAGACATGTCTTTTAACTCCTTGTAACTGAAAAATTCTGTTTGTTTCAAAAGTTTAACTGCTGAACAAAAATGTATCGTGCCTCACTAAAAACCCCTGTTCTACGTCCTCTTAAAGTTTCCGCTCAGCAAATGACTTTGAGGACAGTCTTCTAGTGTTGATCTCTGAACATACATTATGTCGCACAGTGAAAGTCAAACATTCAAATGAAGCAAGCACATAATCACTGCATATCACCAATATATGAAACATGTAAATATGTCCCCTCCTCAATATGTGTAATAATCAAAGTCATCAAATGGCTTCAAAAGCTAAAAGAAAGCTACAGTATTAAACCAACTGCAAAACACATTAAAGCTCACTGAAGTCCTCCTGCTTCACTTTGGTTTCCATGGCAACCAGCAACTGTCAACAAAACAGATGTGCGCAAAGTTTTTGGTCATTTGGTATCCTCAGCGCACAGCTCACTGATAGAAACGGACCACTCACATGTCCAGATGAGCAAAACATAGCCTGTTTAAATTGCAGTCACATGTGAAACATAAACCACTGTATTACTGCTGGTTTGTCTGTGTAACGGGCTGGACGATGACCTGAGACCGTAGTATTTGTCAGCATGTTTTAGCATCATAAACACTATCAAAATTATTTTACACTTTTTACTTTTACTGTGAAACGAGATAATGTAACTTTTGAGAGTAGAAATAGCACCGTCTTCTTTAAAAGTTGAAATATTGGATTCATAACTTAGAAAATGCATCCTTGCTCATCTCCATACGTGCAAGAGTTTTGGTGCCATAGTCTAACTTGGTCTGGTATCACCAGTAGCATATGGTGGCAAACTATCCGTGATGACGGATAACAGACATTACTGAGTCAGTTCATTAACTTCTTTTCTAATCTACTTGTGCTACTGTTATTGTACTACGTTTCAGTGTTTTCCATTATCCCATAATTGTCAGTTTGGGCCACAGTCGTCACTGTTTAACAAAAGTCAGTTTGGGGTGCAACTTTAGATGTAAAACACAGTTGGCTTGCCTGTATGCAGCTGTATGCAACTTAAGAAGGAGACAGACAGACAGACCTTTTTAACTCCCCCCTGAGTGTTTCTAAGTGGTGTTATTGTTGTTGCAAAGATAATGGGATTGCTTTCCATTTTCCTCAGAGCATAGCAGCAAATCACACCCATATCTGGGAATCAATTATAAATATCAACACACTCACTTGTAAGCATTAACTAACAGCAATAAACAAGGAAAAACACTGTTTCAATATCAACCACAACTAATACTGCGGCTCCAATTACGTCACCTAGGTGAAGCAAAGTAAATACTATCAAGATAGTACTATCAAAGTACTATCAGAACGAAGTTTTAGGTTTATTTCATTTAAAGCAAAATAGGTTTAAACAAAATTTAAACACAGGGAATTGAGAGAAAAAAAATAGAAAAATAGAAAAACAGGTCAAATATAATTAAGAGCCAGAGAATAAAAATGGTTTTGAACTAGTTGTGGATGGTAGATGGTGGCCTAAGAAATGCCTAGGTAGACAGTAGTCCAGCCTGGATGATATTAGTGTATGAATGAGTCTTTGTAGATCAGTGAGGGATACAAAATATCTAATTATGGAGATGGTTCTGAGCTGGAAGAAGCTGAACCTAACAACAGAATTTACCTGCCTGTTAAAACTCAGATAACACCAAGGTTCTTTGCATGTGGTCTGATGTAGGCGAAAAAGTGGTTGAGGTTGCGGGCAATAACAGCGGTAAGATGTGGGGGGCCAAAGAGTAGGATGTCTGTCTTGTCCTCATTTAACTGTAAGAAATTATGAGCCAACCGGTCTTTAATGTCCTGGAGACAGTTTTCTAATCCAGTTAAGTCTACTTGATTGCGGTAATTGAGGGGAAGGTAGATCTGAGTATCGTCAGCATAACAGAAATGTTGCAAGATTGAATGATGTTCCCCAATGGGAGCATGTACAGACAGAAAAGAAGAGGACCTAAAACTGAACCCTGCAGAACCCTACATCAAATATTTGCAGGTGTGGAGGATGAGCTTCCAATGAAACAGTGAGTTGTCCAGTGAACCAATCAAGGGCAGACCCTGAAATACTGACCCAGCATGTCAAGCACTCCAGGTGGATCGTGTGGTCGACAGTATCGAATGCTGCACTGAGACCTAAAAGGATCAAGATGGAGCATTTATCAACATCCGCATCACAGAGCACGTCGTTTCTCACTCTTAGGAGAGCTGTCTCTGTACGGTGGTGTTCCCTGACTGGCATTTTTCAAAGACATTGTTTTTTTTTTTTAAGAAAAGAGGACAGAATCTGATTAAAACAACATTTTCTAAAACCTTAGATAAAAAGGAAAGATCGAATATCGGCCTGAAATTACTTACTTACTTAAATAGCCAAACAAGACCAGGCTTCTAAGGGAGTGGCTGGACTACAGCATGCTTAAAACAAGATGGGACTGTACCTGTGGCTAAAGAGCTGTTGAATATCATCAGTATGCTTGGACCAATTGCTTCAAATCACTGTTTTGGGAGCTTTGTTGGAATTATATCAGTCTGACAACCAGTCAGCTTCATACCTGCAATTATGCGTTTAAGCAGAGGTAAAGTGACTGGGCAGGAATTATTAAAAGCAGGAGGGTTCTCAATAGCCTGTGGAAAATCTTTGATAGGATGCGAAATGCTCGATCTAGTGCTGTCAGTTTTATTTGGAAAAAGTCTTTAAAGTGCTTACAGCTAATTGGTGACAAATTCATAGTGAGGTACACAGAGGTGTAACCAAGGAGCGTATGGTATTGAAAAGGATCCCAGAGTTGTGATGGCTTTTGCTGACGATGTCTGAGGGGTATCTTGCTTTTGCATGCTTAACAGAGGATTGGCTCTTGATTTAGCTTCCTTATATATTTCATAGGAGACGTGGAATCCATCTTTTAGATCTCTACGCTCTGCTTTCCAGCATTGCCTTTGAATACAGCTTGTGGACTCAATTGATATTATACTGGTATGAATGAATGAATGAATGAATGAATGAATGAATTTATTTCAGTCTTACATCTCAAAATATACATAATTCGTTCACACTAATATGTACATATTGACCAAAAAGGTGTAGGCTGAAGCTGAAGCTTATTTAGCTCACCCTCTTTACACACATGCGCACATACTCAAAAAACAAACAAACAAACAAACAAACAAACAAAAAAACGGCTCACAATGCAGCCAACAAAAGGCTGATAACTGAAAAATAAGAACAGTTTAAAACCACAAAACAAAAAATGAAGCCAAATCAGATCTCTGTCATGTATCTTTGAATTGCTGACTTTTTATATAATGTTTTTAATTGTAATAAAGAAGTGCTAAGTTTTAA